CTGCCCTTCTGCAGTTCCACGGCTGTCTACACTCCTGTCGCTGTACGCTGTACAAACAGGTGAAGGCGTGTGTGCACACATGCATATTCAGCGCAGTCTGGAGGGGCCTCCTCTGTTACCTTGCCTCTGTGCTTGGAGGGACTGCAGTACCTGGCCCTCCTTTGCCCACCCCCATGTGCCCACTCTCAGCTGATAAGGATGGGGATGGTGGTGCCAGCCTCGAGGTGCCAGCTTGGCCTCCTGGGAGCAAAGCCCCTCTGCCCAAAGCAATAATAACAACAGCCCCGGCAGAGCCTGGGTTCTCTCTCATGCTGTCCGTCTCTGTTGTCACTGCAGTTTCCTTTGTCACCCTGAATCCCAGCTTACCTGTGGACAGGAGGGTCCCCCCAGCTGAAAGCCTTTCTGCTTTTCTTTCCATAGCTGTTGCATCCTCAGGCTGGGACCATCCCCTGGTTCTGGCATCTTTTGGGATGTGGCTCCTTGGGTGGGTACAAGAGTTGGCCAAGTTCAAGTGCTGGGAAGCTGCAAGCACCCGAGCCACCTGGGAGAGTTGCCAGGACTGGACTTGGCTTGAGGGCGTGTTGGGGCCCTGGCACTGCCTTTCAGAGGACGGGGTGAGGGGCCTGTGGGCACGCCCCTGGAGCCAAGTGTCTGCTGCCCCCTGCCGTATGCCGGGCACGGACGGCTCTGAGACACCAGCCTGGTGCAGAGGGAGCCGGCAGGGGTGGCCCTGCCCTGTGCCCAGATTGTGTGCCGCTCCTTGTGGCAGGATGCCCAGGGCGCTGGGGGCAATGCTATGAATCACTTGCTTCAAATAAAAAGTTCCCACCCATTGCAGGCTCTCAAGTGTCATGAGGGTGTTTTGCTGAGAACAGAGGGGGCCCAGAGGAGTGGGCACCCCCAAGGCCAGCTGGGGCTGGGCTCAGGAGTTCACGGTGATGACACTCAGGTGCTAGACCAGTGTGACAAGTCTCCACCACTGGGGCTGACTCACAGCCCAGGTGTTCCTTCCTGGAGATTACCGTCTTGGGGCCCACCAAGACTTAAGTCTGCCCCTCTGCTGGGTCAACTCCAACCAGCATGGCCGTAGACAAGCTTGGCGGTCCCTCTCCTCTTCCCACCAGTCCCCACTCCTCGGCTGGGCAAACCTCTGTCACTGCTGCCACCCTCCACCCTGGGTGAGAAGTCCTGGGTCACACCTTGGTCCCTCTTCTCCCCATATTCTATCAGCCACCAAGTCCTTTCTAGTCTTTGTCCCAAAGTTTTTCTCGATGGGTGCTTTTTGGTTTTGCCTTTTCCCTGCTACCACCTTTGTCCAAACCCTCGCCCATCGCTTCTTACCCTGGGTCCCTCATGCCCTTCCCTGCCCACTGCTTCTCACACCCTTCCAGTCTAACCTTCCTATAACATATTTCATCATGCCATCCCCTGCTCCGGAACCCGCCTTGGCTCCCTGCTCTTCCAGCAACAAGTCCACAGCTCTCTGCCTGACAGAAAGGTCATCTGGGACCTGGTCCCACTTTATGCACCCAAGCCCCTGTGGGCAGGCGGGTCCCTCACCATCTCTGAGAATGGAGTCAAGAGAGCCCATGTCAATGGCGGGGACAGGGGGAGGCAGCGGTCAGGTGTAGGACCCAGGCCAGGGTCAGTGGGAATGACAGGGTCTTGGGGAGAGCACACAAGCACTGAATGGCAAGATGGGGTGTTGTTGGACTTGGGAACCCCTCTTCTCCTTGGCGGCCCCTCTCCCCCATGGACTTGAGTAAATGGAATCCTTTTGTAGCCTTGTGGAGGTCAGTGACAGTGTAAGGGACAGGAGATGGAAACAGCATGCTGGCTGTGTGATCATGGGCAGGTCATGTCCCTTCTCTGGGGACATTTGCTCTCCAGGGCCGCTTTCAGCTCTCACATGTCACAAATGCCCTTCATTTCTCTTTCAGTGACAGACCTGTGAGCTGCTAGCTGGGCACCAGGGATTGGGACATGACCTCACAGCCAGCCAGCGGAATAGATGACTAGGGAGAGTGTTGTGCTGGTTCTGGAGTCTAGATAATTTGAGCTCAGTCCCTCCACTTGGCATGAGATTTCAAGCAAGTCAACTGATTTTTCTGAGCCTCAATTTCTCCTTTAAAGCAGTAACAAAACCAATTTTTTGGAATCCTGATTCTGCCAGCTTACTGGCCGGGTGAAACCAGCTAGTAACACTTAGCCGAGTTACTTAGCCTATTTATGTCTCAGTTTCCTCATCTATGAAATGGGTATAATCAAGATACCTACCTGGGTTATTTGTCATGAGATTTAAATGCATTAAATATTTATACATCAATATATGTAAAGCCCTTAGAATAGTGTGTCTGGCATATAATTATTGTATTGGTCTGTAGGAAGATGAGAGACACAAACGTGGCTCAGAAAAGGGTGTTTTGTGCGGGAGAAGGTTGATCTTTGGGGAGAACTGCTGTCTGTGGGTGAGGGTTCCTTACCCACCCTCATTCTCAGAGCCCCTGTGCCCAATATCTTACCTGCAGCCTTAGGTACCCAGCCAAACCCCCCAACCACTCCTCACGATGGGTGACTCATCTGGGTTTCCACTTCCTCAAGCAATGTTCAAGTGCTCTTGGCCTAGCAGGTGCCCCCATCATCCTGGAGAGGCCTGTCCTGCTTTTGCAAATGGGACATGGGCTCTGTCCTGCGCCTGGGAGAAGTTGCCAGGGAAAGTGGGTTGAGCCTTCCAGACACATTGGCACACTGCTGCCCAGCAGAAAGATAAATATTACTTTGACAGCTGCTTCCCCCAGGGGGGTAGCTCCTCCGAGGAGTGGGAGATGTTTCACTCCCTTGGCCCCTGAACGCCCGGCTTTCTGCTGTGTGCCTGCCTGGTCACCTGCCCTGGGGCTTGTCCATGTGTCCAGAGAGCTGCTTAGCAACCCAGTGTAACTGGGTGACTGTGTCAACAGCTCAGGACCAAAGGCTGCAAGAGGCAAGGTCCACTCACTTCGCCAAAGCCAAGGAGGGTGACACTCTTTAGCTGCCAGGCTCGCCCCCCCCCCCATGCTGAGCGTGCGGTAAGCAACATCCTATGCCTTAGCTTTCCCATGCACAGGCATTGGGACCAGGAGTCTCCATGTGAGAGACTGTCCCAGCTGGGTGGGCTTAGGGTGGACACAGAACCCTGCCCAGGGAACAGGATTAGAGAGAGGCCTGGGATGCTGGGGTCAGGCACACGCGGCTCCAGAAAGCAGCCAGCGGGGAGGGGCAGTTCTGCAGCAGGCACCAAAGGAGCCGAGGCTCACATGTGCATGGTTACCTCCCCAGCCGTGGACGTCCCCTTCCTCTTCTACAACTCCCCTCTCTTCCCTGAGCTGGGCCCCTATTCAGTCGCAATCTTCCTCCTCCTAGGAGACGCAGGACGCTTTTCACCTAGAGAACACTGTCTGTGCCTAGAGATGGATGGTGGCTGGGACCTCCCTAGGGGATCCTCAGCCCCTGGCATGTCTAGTTCCCACGGTGTGTGTTGGGGGCTGGGTGGATGTGCGGGGAAGGTTAGGAAGGGAAAGGGGGAGCTGTGGGGCCTCGGGGGAGTTTCTCCTGCGGGTCGGTTTCACTGCGAGCTCTCACACCCAGCAATATCAATAAGGTTGATGATAATAATTAAGACCACATAATCACTGTGTGTGTTTATTTGTTTCCCAGAGCCTCCTTCCCCTGGCCCATCATTACCTATTCCATCCTTTCAATAGGTGGTGGGTGTTTTAACTACGGCTCTAATAAAAAGTAGTAACTGCTTGTGTTTCTGCCCCCACAGCCCCAGGCAGCTCTACTCGTACCCTCTCTCCAGTGCAGGGTGGGGGGGGACAATGTTCTTTCCATTTTTGGAGGGAGCCACTGAGGCAGTAGGCTGAAGATGTCCCAAAGAATGAAACCCCACACAGCAAGTTGTAGCAGCAGCAAAGTTTGTCTTCTTTTTTAGGGCCTTTACTCCTAGAGGAACTTCTCCAGTTCCATGTCCCCCACCAGGGCCACTCTCAGCTGGCCACTGCTGATCCCTCAGAAGACTGATTGAGGCAAGCATTTAGCCATGGCCAGCAATAATTACCACTGGGTGACGTGCGCAGGTTACTCTTCACCACTGAGCATGGCCTTTCCTCAATGGTAAAAAGGATCTTTGCAAAGATTAGGGCCCTGCGCACAAAAATGCATTACAAATGGCAATTGATACTATTAACAACGTATCCCAGGGATACATGCACTCTTGACTCAGACGAACAGGTGGAATTTCAAACTTCTGGAGAAGGTGGCATGGGAGCTAGGGTGGTACCCACAATCTCTCGAGTCACCACAGTCAGCCTGCCCAGCTGTGAGGGCTCTGGAGAGGCATCCCGGAGAGAAGTGAACCCCTGAAGCCCACTGTTGGGGTGACGAGTCTCTCAGGTCCTCTCTCCCCCACTCCTCCCTCTTTTCTCCCTTGCTCAGTAGCAGCCTGGAGGTATTCACTGATCTCGGTGACTCAGGGATGTAAGATCCGGACTTCCTTCCAGCTGGCACCTGGGCCTGCAGGGGGGACCCCCATTCATCATCCCACTCATTTCAAGCCCCTTCCCATTTTACCGAGGGAAAAATGAGGCCAGAGGGAAGGACACTGGGAGAAGCCAGTAAAGAGCCACGAAAACTCTGGGGTCCAGATTTCCTTCGTCCCCTTCTACCTCCCAACCCGGCTTTCCGTTGCCGCTGCGCACACCCTAGTCTCCCCACTAGCAAGGACGGGCCTTCGCGCGAGTCCCGCGGCGCATCGCCCCTTTAAGGGGCGGGCCTCGGGCCGCCGGCCCCGCTCCGCCCCCTCGGCCGCACTGCGCCTGCGCCGCGCGCCGGAGCGCAGGGGTTGGGCAGCGCCCAGTTCCGTGCAACTTTCAAGTGAGTTGCAAACTCCGCCCCGCGGCCGGCGGCGGCACTGTGCGCCCGGACCGCGGCGACCCGCACGAGCGAGGCCGCGACCGCCACCCCCGCGCGGGACCAGCAGCGGCGCGCGGCGAGGGCCGGACGCCCGGTTCTGCGCGGCAGGAAGTGCGGATCGAGCAGCAACTGCCCGAGCGCCCACCGGTGCCCGCTTTCTACCTGCTGGGCCGCCGCGCCCCCGGCCCGCGGGCCTTCGCGTCCTCCAGGCTCCCGGGACTGCGGGTCGCAGCCAGCGGGCGGCGGGCCCCGCTCCGCCAAGGGGCAGCCGGACCACCCCACGGGTTCCCGCACCTCCGCTGATCCCTGCGTCCCAGCTCTGGCGTGAACGTCCCTCCGGGCGTCGTCCTGGGGTTGTCCCCAAGGCTGGCAGGATGGTGTCCTGGATGATCTGTCGCCTGGTGGTGTGAGTATGGCCGCCCTCAGCCCCTCTGTCCCGGGGTGCCGTCCCGCCCCAGGGGGGAGCGGGGAACGTCTGCTGGGATAGGGAACTTCCTGAGAGCCATCGCACCGCCCCCAACACTGGCCGCAAGGGTTAACGGACCTGCACGCGCCTCTTGGGTTTGCAGGCTGACCCCTCACCCCCAGTCTCATTGGCTGATGACGCCCCCTCCCATGCACATCCACAGGCATGGTGCGCGCGTTCACACACACTCACACACTGTAAACACGCCGGGGCGAGGGCCACAGACCTGCCTCCAGCCCCTTGGCAAACACAAAGTAATATGGCACGTTGTGGGCGGAGAATCCAGGTGCCTGCTTCCCATCTGAGCTGTCACATGACTCACCACCGCCCTGGTCTCAACCTCCTCACTCAGCCCTGCAGCTCACCTCTGAGAACTCCAACACCTGGCTCCAATATTCCTGTCTGCTGTCTGGCAGTGCCAGGTCTGGTGGCCCTGGGCCTGCATGCCCATGGGAGGGGGCAGTCTGGTGCTCTCACCCACTTTGTGGAGCGGCTGTGCTCTGGCTGGATCAGGCACCCATGGGCCACCAGTGCAGGCCTGGGCAGGCTCGGGATGTTTGTAAACAGCGGGGTGGGGTGGTGGCCTCCAGGGCACTGACTCAGGCACAGGTTGTGCAAGCCAAGCGGGAAAAACAGGGCAGGCACTGCCACCTCGAACCCCAGTGGGGGGAGGCGGCCACCTGGGTGGGGGGGCATGGTGTCCCTCACACTCTCATGGCTTCTCTTCCAGGCTGGTGTTTGGGATGCTGTATCCAGCTTACGCCTCCTATAAAGCTGTGAAGACCAAGAACATTCGTGAATATGTGAGTGCGGGGGCAGGGCGGGGTGGGGGTGTGTTGCAGAACTTGGTGAGGTGGGGAAGGCCTGAGCTGGGCTCCCCCTCCCCCAGGGGCATGGTCGTGTGGCACGTGCAGAGTGGAGTGCGGAGGAAGAGAATAGGGCCTGTTGGAGTGGGTGTGGACGGAGGGCAGGCCATGGGGGTGCCTGCGCAGGATCTTGTGGGTGAAGCCATGGGGGTTGGGCACTGTCCAGCCAGGCGGTGGAGGAATGCAGCAATGCCACGGGGCAGGCTCTCGGGAGTCTCTGGGCTGGGCCGGCTGGGCATGGGAGTTGGCAGGCCCCGTGCTGACCTCCGCGTGCTCTGCCCCACAGGTCCGGTGGATGATGTACTGGATCGTCTTTGCGCTCTTCATGGCAGCAGAGATCGTCACGGACATCTTCATCTCCTGGTATGGGTGCCGGGGGTCGGCAGGCCATGGGGCAGGCTTGGCCCCACCTCGGCCTGGCTCCCTGGTTCACCTTGCCACCCCCCCACCCATGCTCTGACAGGTTCCCTTTCTACTATGAGATCAAGATGGCCTTTGTGCTGTGGCTACTGTCGCCCTACACCAAGGGGGCCAGCTTGCTTTACCGCAAGTTTGTCCACCCATCCCTGTCCCGCCATGAGAAGGTACCCCAGGGGAGGTGGGGAGGGAGGCTTAGGGGTAGGCATGAGGGAAACAGCCCTGGACTGGGGTTCAGGATGCTGGGGACACCTGGATTCTCATCCCAGTCCTGCTGCTAAGCTGTGGGACCTTGACAGGTCCTAGCCTATCTTATCTGCCGGGATAATCAAATGGGGGTACATGTGGGTGACCTTTGAGGGTGGAAGTTGGTTTGGGATGGTGGGGTGGGCAAGTGGGTGGGAAGCCCTGCTCTCAGTGTGTGTTCTGGGCCTGGATCTGTTGCTCCCAGGCACTGGGTGGGGTTGGGCTAGGGAGTGTGACAACTGGTGGCTTCTTAGGGTCTGCAGAGGAAGAGGGACTCTGGCCTGAGCCTGAGCCCCCGCTCTTCCCCTGGGTCTGCAGGAGATCGACACATACATCGTGCAGGCCAAGGAGCGCAGCTACGAGACCATGCTCAGCTTTGGCAAGCGGGGCCTCAACATTGCCGCCTCGGCTGCTGTGCAGGCTGCCACCAAGGTGCTCTGGTCCCCGGCTTCCACCCACCCCTCAGTGCATTTCGGGCCTGTCCAGCTCCTCTGCCAGGGAGCCCAGAGTTAGCAGCTGGGGAGCAGGGTGAGAAGGGGAGGTGTTGGCAGGAGTGCAGAGCTGGAAGCGCAGACCTTCCTGGCCCCAGCACTGAGCGTGAGCAGCAGTTCCTGCTCTCTTGGCCTTGGTTTCCTGTTGGTGCCACAAAGGCACAGGGCCAGAAGCTTGCTGGGTTGCTTTCAATGCTGAGTCCCAGCTGCAGTGATTAGCCGAGGGTGGGCCCTTGATTTACGAGGGCAGCTTCCCTGCTGAAGCCCCTTCCTCTAGCAGCCCCTCCGTCCCTCCCTCTCAGAGTCAGGGCGCGCTGGCTGGCAGGCTGCGGAGCTTCTCCATGCAGGACCTGCGTTCCATCCCTGACACCCCTGCCCCCACCTACCACGACCCCCTCTACCTAGAGGACCAGGTACCCCGCCGGCGGCCACCCATTGGTGAGTGGGCAGAGGGGCCCAGAGCCGTTCCGAGAGGGTGGCATCCCCCATAGGCTCATGGCCACCCCAGGGCTAGGGGAAGGCCTGGCCCCAGGTCGTCAGCTTTGCGTGCCCCAGCCTGTCCTCCACACAGGGTACCGGGCAGGGGGCCTGCAGGACAGTGACACAGAGGATGAGTGTTGGTCGGATACCGAGGCAGCCCCCCGGCCACCAGCCCGGCCCCGAGAGAAGCCACTGAGCCGCAGCCAGAGCCTCCGTGTGGTCAAGAGGAAGCCACCAGTGCGGGAGGTCAGCCACGAGGACAGGACAGCGTGGGGGAGGACGGCCTGGGGGAGGGCCAGCGTGCCGGCTCTCCAGCGCACACCTCTCACAGCGCCCCGCTCTCTCCCCAGGGCACCTCGCGCTCCCTCAAGGTTCGGACAAGGAAAAAGACTGTGCCCTCCGACATGGACAGCTAGGGGCTGCAGCAGCTGGCCCAGTCTTACCTCGTGCACTGCAGGGTGCCTGGGGCTCCTTGGAGGGACCTGTGGCTGCACATCTGCACCAGCCGCCGTGGCCCATCCTCCGGCTCCTGGTGGACAAGGGCCAGGCCGATGCTGGCGGAGCCACATGCGGGGGTGCACCCACGGCGTCCCAAAGCAGGCTGGGCCCCGGTCCTATTTATTGCCTTTCGCAGCCCTCTACATTCCCCACATGTGGGACCATAGCACCCCCTGAACCCCTGCAAGTGAAACCAAAAGTCCAGCCTGCTGTGTTCATTCCTTCTGTCCTTCAAAGTACTTGACAGCCTTTTCCAAGGCCTGGTGTGTGTGTCCTGGTTGTGTGGGTTTTTTTTGTTGGTGAATGAGGTCAGGTTTGTGAACATTTTGATAAATAAAACACATAAAGATGTTCTGTTTCTCCCAATTTGTGTCCCCACTCCTCACATCACACCCTTGAAATTCAACAGCCCACTTTGGGCCAGTCCCGGGCTAGGGCTAGGGCAGAAGGAGACAGTGCAGCGAGTGCTGTCATGAACGCTCTTGGGGAGCTCTGAGAACACAGGTGGGAGAGCGGGACCGGTCCCGAGGAGGAGTGCAGAGTCCAGGCAGGGATTGGGCCTCGGCAGGAAGATGCAATTGTAGAGAAACCTGTAGGAGCGACAGTGTGGAGGGGCTTCGGGCAGCATGTTAGTCCCGTGGGGATGTTGGAGCCATGCTCGGGGCAGGCCTGGGAAGGCTGTTTCCTTCATGGGCACTGGAACCCAGGTAGCTCCGGGTGCCTTGAGTTCAGCAAACAATTCAGGTAGCAGCAGCAGGGGATCACTGCACCTCCTAGCAGGGGCCACCAGAGGGCAGCAGCTGCCAGGATCTGGGCTGCCCCGGGCTTCCAGGTCAAGGCGGGTGGGGCTGGGAGACCGGCCAGAGCCTCGCCCTACTGGGGCCTGGCCGAGCTCAGCAGAGGCCTCCTGTGGCCCTCGCTGCTGCTTGTGGTCACTGATCCTTGGCCTGCCCCATCCACAGAGTCTCCTCCACTCTCCTGAGACCCAGGCTCTCTGCCTGTGCTGGCCGCGGTCCATGCCCTGCCCTAATCCCTGGGACAGCCAGTGCCAGCTCTACCTTCTCCTGCCCGGGATGCTGGTCTCGCCACAGCGCCCGGCTGCTCCCCTCGCCCACCTGCTTTCGATTAAGCAAAGAGGCGGGTGAGAGCGCAGGATGAGAAGAGGAGAAATGGGGTGGTGACCCGGAGTGGTCTGGGAGAGTCCGGATTAACTCTTGGTGTGGGATTATCCGGGTTTTATTTGGGGGCAGGCACTTAATCCGCCGGGATGATTTAGCTCCTTGCGCAGTGGAGCCCAGTGGCTTCCTGTCATGGCTTTCCTTTGCATCACGGTGTCATCTCCTCATTACTTCATTCAAAAAAATTATTTATTGGGCACCAACCAGGTACCAGACATGTTGCTAGATAGTGCAGGGGTACAGAGAGCAGTATTGCCAGCGCCCGGAGAGTGGCTGCCCCACCACAGACACTGCTCTAAGTCCCTGACATACGTTAATTTAATCCTCGTACCAATCTTGGGAGGCACATACTCTTATAATCTCCATTTTATAAACAGGAAAACAGGCACAGAGAGGGCAAGTGATTTGCCTAAGATCACACAGCTTGTAAGTGGCAGGATCAGACTTTGAACCAGCCAGTCTGGCTCCAGAGACTATGCACTTAGTTACTGTGCAGTGCTTAAGTAAATGAGATGTTTCTTGCCTAGGAGGCAAGGAAAAGGTATGGATCATTTGTTTTCAGATGATTTTCTTGAATCTTCCCCAAAAGCCTGTCAGCTAGGAGCTATACATACCCATTTTACAGATGAAAAACTGAGGCTTGGAGAGCTGCAGCAACTTGTCCACCATGGTGCTGCCTATGCGCTGGGGACCCTGTCTCTTAGTGCAGGAATTGCCCAGGCATTGCCTTGGTAGGGCTGGAATGGCAGGATGCACACACCCAAACTGGAGCAACAAAAAGAGATGAGTGCATGATGAATGGACAAAATGCAACGAAAAGGCAAAATAAAGAAGAGGGGCAAGGCCAAACGTTGCAGGGTGGTGAGGAAGATTTCACTCACCCTCATTCCCAGCATAGGTGCTTAGAGTGGGCAATGGTGTCACTTAGGCCCCTTGGCTGAGCTGGCGAAGCTTTGTGCTCTCTGCTCCGACAGTCAGACTGCCTCGTGGCTCTGCACAGCCCGGCATGTTGTCCCTCCGACCTCCGCCACCCAACTCTCTGTCCTACTCCCATCTGCCCTGGGAACCCCACTCAGGCATCACCTCCCTGGGAAGCCCTCTGTGAGCGCCCCCTCCCCTGGAGTTGCAGGCTCATCTCGGCTCTGGTTTTGTCTTGAGCACATCGTATTTTCTCCCCCTCTGTGCTGAGACTTCTTAAAGAACAGACTTGTATTTTACTCACTGTCCTATCCCAGTCTGGAACAAACAGTGGTTTACCCGAAGTGAAATGCTTTCGCAAGTGTGCGATTTGGTCATGAAGTCCGGCTCACTCCCTGACCTCCTCCGGGAAGCTCCCCAGACTTCCCCAGGGCGGGACTCAAAGTATCTTGTCATCGTTTGTTAACAAGCCAAACTCCCGGATAGTCATCCCACAGGGCCCAGCACAGGGCCTGGCACCTAAGAGGCCTCGAGGACTGTTTGCCGGTAGAAGAACAAATGCACTAAGCAACTGAAAGCTTCTCAGGGGTGGGGGTGGACTTTTGCTTTCTGTCTCTGTGCCCTGCACCACTTGGGGCCCACTGCAGAGCCTTCGAATTGCCAGGGTCTCTAGAGCACGGCTTTGGGGAATGGCTGTCCGCAGTTGTACGGGTTCCAAGGCATGCTGGGGCCAGAGGCGAAGGAGGAGCAAGAAGTCCAAGTTCTGGGGCATTTCTGGGCAAGCACATACGTGATCCTGAGGCTCGGGACACTGGGTGTCAGCTGGGCTTCCCTTGGAGCCGGTCCTGCCCCTCAGAGAACCACCTCTGAGACTTCGCCTCTGCCCCAGAGTGGTGGCCCTCTGCATGGAGTCCCTGGTCCTCCCTTCAGCCCCCCTAGCCTGGCCTTTAGCTCCTGCGTGGCATCCCCAACCTTCTTCTCACTGCCAGCCAGCAGCCTCCCCAGGCAGGGTCAGCGTGGCCAGCCCCCCGAGAGCTGCACCCCTCCGCGTGGTCCTGGGCTCCCTCCTCAGCCTCCCCACTCCCTTGTCTGCCTCCCAGAGCTCCTCCATTGCCTCCCAGTTTCTGGGTGCAAAGGACCCTCGATTCCTGCCTCCTTCCCCCCTCCTCCCACCATCCTTTGGCCTCTTCAGCCATCATCACCAACCCTCTGGGCCTGTGGCCCCCTGTGTCCTGGTCCCATCCCAGCCTCTGGCCTCAGGCAGACACTGGCCCCACTGCTGTGTTCCTAGCTGCCATTGCCTGGCCTCTAGTTCCCCACACCCCCTGGCCCCATCCCCCACCCACATCAGCCTGGGCCCCTATGGCTGGGCAGGGGCAGAAGCCTGGGCAGGAGGATGCTGCCTGCTGCTGGAGAAATCCTGGGGCCAGTGGGTGTGGGTAGGCACAGGGGTCCCAAGCCCAGGGCAGAGTGGGTGGGCAGCTCGGGTGAGCAGCTTGCGGGGGAGGGGAGGGGAGGTGGGGAGGGGTGCTGGGGAGGTGTGGACTAAGAAGGGGAATTAGGTCAGGGCTGTGGGTGGGTGGGCGAGGGGGGGTGGCATCTGCCACAGAGCTTCCTTCTGGCTCCAAAAACATCTCCACATTTCCCTTCCCCTCCCCCCAGGTCCTGGGAGAATTCGCCCTGGTATCCCCTCCTCCATGCCCCCCCCATTGCCACAGGGGTGGGGAGCAGGGTGGGGGGAGGCCAGCCTCAGCTGTCTGAAGGATGGAGGGGCTGGGAAGCAGGGCTAGGTGCCCAGACGGCCGCGTGTGTGGGAGGGGATGTCCTCAGATGCCCTCCACCCGGCAGTCCCCGCTCTGACGTGGGTGCCCCCCCTTTCCCCGCCCGGATTAGTGGCAGCTTGGCCTGACTCTCCGGGGCTCCTGCCCCCGCCCCCGCCTGCTGCCCTCCCCTGGGCAGGGGGCTGCTCCTCCGAGGGGCACTGTGCTTGCCCAGGTAAGGGGCTCTGGGGACGGCGAGAGGGCAGCCGGCTCGTGAGTGCTGCCGTGCCTGTCAGCACAAGTGTGTGTCAGCGTGTGCGTGTGTGCAGTGTGTGTGCCAGTGCGCCAGGGGTCGGCGCGGGGCTGGGGCTGGGCCCATGTGTGGCCGGGGGTGCTGGTCAGCTTGCCTTTGTCCACGGGTCTGGCATTGTGTCCACACGCTGTGTGGCTTTCCTTCTGTGTTTGTGTCTTTTGTGTGTCTCCTCAGTTCTGCTCCGTCCTCGGGCACAGAACAGCCGGCTGCAAGGACTCTGTGGGCCTGTGGCATGGGCTCCACAGCAGGAAGGGAGCGGGGTGAGGGTCAGGAAGGGGTCCTTTCCCTAGCCCGGCCCCTGAGAGCCCCTGGGGACTTCTGGAGCCTGTCCCCAGAGCCCGCTCTAGTCCAGGGACTGTGGCCTGACAAAGCAGACATGGCAAGTGGGGGTGGGGGAGAGGTGTCTGTCCCAATCCCCAGGGACAGCCCCCATCACCTTTGGGGATGACAGCGACAGGCCCTAAGGGCTCTGGACAGCCCAGGCTTCCACCCTGGCTGCTTCCAGGCCCCGAGCCGCAGGAATCTCCCCCGGATGCTCCCACAAGCTGAGGAGGGAGGCCAGAGGACACAGATGGGGGACCACAGGCACACTCCAGCCATCCCCGTCTTGGCCCCGGGAGCCAGTCTGGGGGTGGGAGGCCAGGCCCAGGCCACATCGGACCCTCCACAAGCGCCTGCCTGGACACACTGAGGTCCGGCCACCCCTAGGGGAGCTGGGGGAAGAAGGGAGTGCTAATAACTCAGCCATGTAAACAGCCCCTACCAACCCACCCCGCCACAGAGCTGGCCAACGGGGGATGCGCAAGGGTCTGGGCGAATCCATGCCAACATGGCCTGCGTCCTGCCTGGTGCCCATGCCTTGAGTCCCTTCCCAGGACCCCTCCTCCTCTCCTCGACTGGGGGAAGGCCCCGGCCCTTGGGAGGAAGGCTTGGGCTCTCCAGGGATGGTGGTGTGACTTAGGACAGGCTGGAGGCATCCAGAACCTATCCTTCCCATGGGATGGGAGAGCTGGGGGGCTGCTCTGTCCCAGGCTGGGAGAAGGTGGGCCGAGGGTGGCTTCCGCAGGGAGGCAGGGGCGTTGAGGGTGGGAGGTGGGTGCCCGAGGGGAAGGGAAGTGCCCGCTGGGCGTGTGGGTTTCTGTGTGAGTCTGAATCTGTCTGTGTGTGTCTGAATCTGTCTGTGTGTGTCTGTGCTCTGGAACCGCCCCCGCAGAGGAGCCGGGATGCTTCCTCGGGTGGAGGGCGCCCTACTTTCCCATTTTCTCTCGTGCTCCCTGCTTGCTCCTGGGAGCCACTCCCATGGGCTCCCCTCCAGAGCCGGCCAGAGCCGGCCGGAAGCACTAGGAACCCTGGGACAGGACAGAACCCCAGAATGCAGGGCTCTAGCGGTGGCGGGGGCTCATCTGGTCCCCATCACCTCTCTGACACTTGGTGAAAGGAGGGCCCTTAGACCAGGGATGGACTAGAGCCCAGGCCCTCCCAGAGCTCCTAAGGCATGGCCCTTAGAGCCCCTGGGCCCTGGGAGGGGGTTTGGGAGGGAGTTGGGGTGAGGGGTCGTGAGGATCAGCTTGTCTAGGTGGGGATGAAGCAGGGCAGGCGGCGGTAGGGTGTGTCCATGTGCCAGAGCTGGAGAGGACCAAAAGCCGTGGTCCAGTAAGCAAGGCCCAGCCGGCGTGGGTCAGAGCACCCATCACTGACCCGTGAGAACCTGACTGCCCCTGCCAGCTCTAGCACTGCCCCCTCCCAAGCGCCCCGCCCCAGCACCCCTGGGGGCACCCCGCCCCACCATGGCCTGGTCCGGCCCCTCCCGCCCTTTGCTCCAGTTCCCGGGCTTGGCACCTATAGTGGGGGTGCTGCCCGCCTGCCAGGCTCCGAGGCCGGGCCCACGGGAGGGTGGGGCGGCTGGGAAGCTGGCACGCTGCCCCGGGGGAGCCTCTCTCGGCAGGCGCCCGGGTGCCGCGGAGGGGAGGGGGGAACAAAGGGCTCATTCTCCCCGTGCGCAGCCGGTGGCATCGCCGGGGCGTTGGCGGAAGCCCCCGGGGCCTGGGAGGGGGCAGGCCCAGGCGGGGCCGCCGAATCACGGGCTCCTGTTTCCCGCAGGGTGCTGGAGGAGGAAACCGGCGGAGCAGCTTCCCCACTCTCAGTTGCGCGTCTGGCGATGGCGATCGGAGGTCCTGCTGCGCTCTCCGCCGCGCTCTCCCTCCATTAGCCGCGCTACGCGGTGCTGCGCCTTCGCTGGTGCCTATCTCCTGGGTCACGGGATCGGCCCCCCTTGCAGGCACGACCCCCTCCCCCGGCCCCTCGGCCTTTCCCCCCACTCGGCCACCTCCGACCCGGGGCGCGCGTTCCCCCCGGCCCGGCTCCGTCTCTCCCTCCGGGGGCACCCGCTCCCTAGCCCCGGCCCGGCCCTCCCCGCGGCGCAGCACGGAGTCTCGGCGTCCCATGGCGCAACCCACGGCCTCGGCCCAGAAACTGGTGCGGCCGATCCGCGCCGTGTGCCGCATCCTGCAGATCCCGGAGTCCGACCCCTCCAACCTGCGGCCCTAGAGCGCCCCCGCCGTCCCGGGGGAGAGCGAGCGCGAGAGCGCTGAGCGGAGAGAGGGAGATCGCGTCCTCGCCCGCCGGCCGGGAGGCCCCGGAGCCGGCCCATGGGGAGCGGGTGCCCGGCGCCGGCCAGGACCACCGCCGCCCGCGCCGCGCCCGGCCAGTGAAGCCCAGGTAAGCGCCTCCTGGGGATACTGAGGCTGGGGATTTCTGAGCCGAGCCCGGCGCGCCCACAGGGAGAGAGTTGCCCCGGCCCCTCTGGGCTGGGCCACACATCCCAACATCATGGGAAAGTTAGGACGCCAGACCCGGCGGGACGGTGGCGGCTCCAGAAAACCTGGAGCCCTCTATCACCTCCCTCCAGGAGCCAGCCGAGGGGACCGCGCCAAGAGAGCGCTGCAGGGCTGGTGCCACCTGTCATCCCCGTCCCTTGCACGCACGTTCAATTTTCCCTCCCTTGCCTCTCTCTGGGGCCCAGCCCGCTTTCCCCGCCTCCTTCCCTCCCCCCTCGCCGCCGGCTGCAAGGCTGCAGTTTCCAGCGGCGGCGGCCGGCGGGGCTGGGCGAGGGCAGCTTGACCCATCCAGCTGAGACCTCGTAATCCCCCTCTCCTGTGCTGGCTCACTCCCGCCCTGGGGCCAAGGTGGAGATCCCTGCCCCCAGCAGTTGTCCTGGGACTCTGCTTGAGAAGCGAGAAACTGGCAGAGCAGTCGAAGAGGCAGGCTCAGGGCCCAGGTATAGGGAGAGACCCGCCAGGGCCCTGGCGCGCAGCCCTCCCCAGTGACTCCAGCCTGCTCTGCCTGCACTTGCCACCCCTACAAGGCTGGCTGGGGCTGCGGGCTGTGGTAGGCAGGCAGCACCCCCAAAACCACAGTGGCAGTATGGGAACAGTCCTCTGTGACCCACACCCCATTTCACACAAGGGCACACTGAGCCTCAGACGAGGGACATGCCTCGCCCAAGGCCATGGCTGAGTCAGAGCCACCATCCAGGCTTCTTGTCTTCCCAGTTCAGCGCCTTCCACTGAGCTCACCTTTGGGTTCTTGCTTTCTGTCCTACCCCATGACCTGTGACCAGGTTCCTGGCTCAGTGAGGCCAGAACATGCCCTCCTAGAAATGGCAGCTTCTAATGAGGGGCTGTGGCCCAGGCGGGCTGTCAAGTCCCAGGAGTTTGGGGAAAGGGTGAGCTCCCACACTGGAGCATCCCACCCAGGCAGGGTCCTTCTGGCCGTATACGGATAGGCAGCATGTCGCTGGCTGTGGGCTGGTACTTGCCTTACTGGTTTGAGGCACCTTGGTGCTGCCAGGGCGGTGCCCGCTCTGTGCCAGGTGGTAAGGTGCTTGGGGCATGTGCCCAGGGAGCTCATGCTCTGATGGTTGTGCTCCAGGACCCCCTCTGGGCAAGCCCCATGAGGACAGGAGAGTGATGGAGAGTACGCCCAGCTTCCTGAAGGACACCCCAATCTGGGAGAAGACGGCCCCTGAGAACGGCATTGTGGGACAGGAGCCGGGCACCCCAGCTCAAGATGGCCTGCACCGTGGGCCACTGTGCCTGGGAGAGCCTGCTCCCTTCTGGAGGGGCGTCCTGAGCACCCCGGACTCCTGGCTTCCCCCTGACTTCCCCCAGGGCCCCAAGGACATGCTCCCACTTGTGGAGGGTGAGGGCCCCCAGAATGGGGAGAGGAAGGCCCACTGGCTGGGCGGCAAGGATGGACTGCGCTGGAAGGAGGCCATGCTTACCCACCCGCTGGCGTTCTGCGGGCCAGCGTGCCCACCTCGCTACAGCCCCCTGGTTCCTGAGCATAGTGGTGGCCATCCCAAGAGTGACCCTGTGGCCTTCCGGCCCTTGCACTGCCCTTTCCTTCTGGAGACCAAGATCCTGGAGCGAGCTCCCTTCTGGGTGCCCACCTGCTTGCCACCCTACCTGGTGTCCAGCCTGCCCCCAGAGCGTCCATGTGACTGGCCCCTGGCCCCACACCCCTGGGCGTACTCTGGGAGCCAGCCCAAAGTGCCCTCTGCCTTTGGCTTAGGCAGCAAGGTGAGTGCTGGGACAGGCAGGGGATCTGAGGCTCAGACCATGCAAGGTAGCTCAGTGGTCCCAAGGGTCCTGCCAGCTGCCAGCCCCTCGTTGACCCTAAGCAATCCCTCCTGTGGGCAACTCCATCTCTCTAGACCTCCCCAGCACCCAGCCCCTTGCTGTTGCTGACTCACCCTTTGCCCCCCTAAGCCTGGGCAGGGCCCTGGGAACTCTGGCCTTGGAATGTGTGGCCTAGTCCTGTGTGGAGAAGGCGGGCAGGCAAGACCCCTCTATCTGGGAGCAGGACGTGTGGGTGACCCCAACAGCCTGTGTCCAGGGCACCTCTCTGACAGGCAACCTCCATGCCCAAGGATGAGATTTTTAAATATTTAAAAAAGAGTATGGAGCCGGGCGTGGTGGCTCACGCCTGTAATCCTAGCACTCTGGGAAGCCGAGGCAGGTGGATCGCTCAAGGTCAGGAGTTCGAAACAAACCTGAGCAAGAGTGAGACCCCGTCTCTACTATAAATAGAAAGAAATTAATTGGCCAACTAATATATATACAAAAAATTAGCCGGGCATGGTGGTGCATGCCTGTAGTCCCAGCTACTCGGGAGGCTGAGGCAGGAGGATCGCTTGAGCTCAGGACTTTGAGGTTGCTGTGAGCTAAGCTGATGCCAGGGCAACAGAGCCAGACTCTGTCTCAAAAATAAATTAATTAATTTAAAAAAAAAGAGTATGGTACGGGATGCCAGACCATCCAAGCAGATCCTGGCTGCCCTTTGGCTGTGCCAGGCATTAGCCCTGGAGTTGCTGGATTGTGAGGAAGTCTGAGACCCCGGGGGGTGCGGGTGTCTTGGCGGCAGCCAGGGCAGCTGGGGTGTGTAGGGGACGGGAAGGGCGAGCTAGGGTGGCGCCATTTCCTTAGCAGGATAGGAGTTCTTCAATATTTAGGCCTTGGGAAGCAAAGGCAGCTCGAGCTCACCCCTTTCTCCTCTCTGTAGGGCTTTCACCACAAGGATCCCATTCTCGGGCGGGCCAAGGAGCCCCTGGCAGCTGCGGAACCTGGGCTGTTGGGCTTGGGCCCTGGCGGCTACCTCCAGAGAGCCAGGGAGACAGAGCGCCCCTCGCTCCACCAGAGGGATGGAGAGACAGGCGCTGGCAGGCAGCAGAATCTTTGTCCACTTTTCCTGGGACATCCGGGCACTGTTCCCTGGACCCCCTGGCCTGCTTGTCCCCCAGGCCTTGTTCACACTCTCGGCAACGTCTGGGCTGGACCAGGCAGCGGGAGCCTGGGGTACCAGCTGGGGCCACCTGCCACACCACGGGGCCCCTCTCCTGGGCCTCCTACCACCCAGGGGCGCTGCTGCTCATCCCGCCCACCTGCTAAGGATGGGGCTCTTGGCCCTTGTGGGAAGTGCCAGGAGGGCCTGGAAGGGGGTACCAGTGGGTCCAGTGATTCCAGTGAGGAAGTGAGCAAGGGCACGGATCCCAGGGCCTGCCCCCCCAGCCACCACACCAAGCTGAAGAAGACATGGCTCACGCGACACTCTGAGCAGTTTGGGTGTCCAGGCGGCTGCCCTGGGGACGAGGAGAGCCCGGCTGCCCAGCTCCGGGCCCTCAAGAGGGCAGGCAGCCCTGAGGGCCAGGAGGCAGTGGGCAGCCCGGCCCCCAAGCGGCCTCCTGACTCTTTCCCAGGCTCTTCGGGGCAGGGGTCCAGGGCTTGGCAGGAGGTGCTGGACGCGTCAAGAGGGAGCAAGGTGGAGGCAGGACAGCAAGACGACCAGAGAGGTGAGGAGGCAGGGGAGGGGCCGCAGGGGGCCCTGCTTGGAAGGGGCAGCCAGGGCTGGGGCTTTGCTGGGCTTGGGGACTGTAGGCCCTTACGAGTGAATCACACCCGGTTGTCAAGTTCCCCACCTGGACTGTGCTGGCTCTTTAGGAGTTCCTCAGCATTTACAGGCCAGAGCGTCCCAGCGAGTGGCTTCTGTCTCTGTCTCCTCCCAAGCCATGGTGTGTTGGTGGCCATATAATGGCATGGTTCAGAGCATTGGCTCTGGAGCCAGAGTGCCTGGTTCCTGACTTGGCTGATTGGTAGCTGTGTGACCTTGTGTGAGTTACTTTACCTATCTGGGCCTCATTTTCTTCATCTATAAAATGGGGATAAAGATGGCACCTGCCTCATGAAGACAGCTGCAAAACTGAAATGCTACAATAATTCGCATTGAAGGCTCTGAAGAATTCCTGGCTCCTAGTAAACCCTCCATAAATGTTCACTGCCGTGACTCTTTGTGCTGCGAGTCCCCACTGTGGGCTTACCTCTCCTGAAAGACCCCTCGTCCTGCCTCGGGGACGGCTGCTCTCCTGGCCAGATGGATTGTGGAGACTCATTTTGTGCTCTGCCAGTGTGAGGGCTTTGGGAACGTCCCGGAGCCCTGGGTCACACTGTGCCCTTCACAGAGGGTTCTAGCACTGCTGGCCCCGGACTCGGTCTTGGGGATCGCTTCGGTTTCTCGGCCTCCTGGACTGCTGGGCCTGGCACAGACCTCTCTCTCGGCCTTGCCCAAATGCCCCTGCACCTGGCACGGTCTGCCTGCACCCGCCCGGGCCTGGCTGGGCTGGGAAGTTGGTGGCCCCTTCGCCTTCTTGGGTTACTGCACCTGTGGCCTGTGTTGAGACTCCCCGGCCTTCTCACCTTCTGGCGCCCTCCGTCTGCGTTGGGATTGTCTCCTCGCGCTGTCATGCAGCCAGCGGTGTCACTAAGCCCTCAGTGGAGCTCTCCAAAGTCTGCACTGGCTGGATCCTGCACTTGTGGCAAGGCAATCGCGCCAGCTGCCCGCAGCCCTGGGCGCAGCACACCAACGACCCCTGACCCCACGGTCGTCCGCGTCATGGCAGGCTCCCTGCTCAGCCTTGCGCAGGAAACTTCTCGCTGCCTGGTCCACTCTCGCTGGTCCTGAATTAGGCTTCGTAAACCTGGGGCGAGGGGCTGGGCTGGCTCTGTGTGCGGATGACGTGGGCACTAGGGGAAGGACCGGGGTTGCCAGATCCCAAGATACCCAGACTCCTGACCAGCCCACATTGTCCCCTCAGGACCCCGAGATGGCCAGGCCAGCCTCCAGGACCCTGGGCTTCCGGACATACCATGCGTGGCTCTCCCTGCGGGTCTCGCCCAGTGCCAAAGCTGTGCCCAGGCAGCTGGTGATGGGGGAGGGCTGGCCTGCCACTCCCAGCAAGTGCGGAGGTGAGCCCGTCCTCCTGGGGGCCCCCACATCCTCCCCCGGGACTCCATCCTCACCCTCCTCTGCCCTCTCTCCAGATTGCCTCTGGGAGGGGAGTGGCAGCAGGAGGAAGATGCAGCCACCAGCTCCAGCTCCGAGGACGGCCGGGGGTCTGGCCCAGAGGCCCCGCTCAGCACGGGCCTTGCCAAGCACCTGCTCAGTGGTTTGGGGGACCGACTGTGCCGCCTGCTGCGGCGGGAGCGGGAGGCCCAGGCCTGGGCGCAGCGGGAAGGTGAGCAGGACCCCCTGGCCCCCAGCTGTCCCTCCCCCGCGCCCCCCACTCACGCTGCTGGTGCCTGCCCTGCTTTGCCCTTACTCCTGTCTTAGGCTCTTGGTCCACCCCGAAGTCTCTGGCCTGGCTGGGGGATGTTGGAAAGGTGTCATCAAACCTGGTGCAGCCCAATTCTCTCGGAGTTTTGGGGAAAGCAAGACTGAGTGCCAAGAGCCTGGCAGGTAGTGGCATTCCTGGAGGACCCGTGGGACCTGGGCTGATGGCAGAGATGGGCGGGCACGAGGCTGCTTGCTCTGGCTCCAAGCTGTCCCTCTGGCTGCCTTTCCACAGCCCCAGAGAGTGGTCTCTGTAAACACACAGCCTGGGGCCCACAGGTCACTCCCTGGGTGGGGCTCACAGGGGGCTCCCGCTCACCCCAGAAAGGCCAGCCCCAGCCCCCTTGGCATTTCCCAGCTGACTCCCGTCGGCTCCTGCTGCTGCCAGCCTGTATTCCCGGCACACACACCACCCGTCCTTCCCTTCCCAGCTCCCTTGAGCTTGGCCATCCCCTCGGGCCTTGGCGTTGGCCGTTCCCTGGGTCTGGAATGCCGCGCTCCTCCCTTGCTACCTGGAGCATGAACACTTACTCATCTTCCGGGCGCTTGGGGAGCTCCCGCCCCCATCCTTCGGTCCCATTTTCACACTCTAGGGCCTGCCCAGTGGGCCATAGTCATTGCTGCGTTTATGGGTCCATCTCCCCACTTCGAAGGTGTGAGGAGGGCAAGGACCAATTCCTGACCGGCTTTGAGTCTCCTGCGGTCAAAGTGAGACACGGCAAAGTGGCTTGTGATCAGGGGCACCTACCAACAATGGCTTAGTCTGAAACTTTGCTCTTAAAATAACTCACTTCTGGCCGGATGCAGCAGCTCACACCTGTAATCCTAGCACTTTGGCCAAGGTGGGGGGATTGCTTGAGGCCAGGAGTTCGAGACCAGCCTGGGCAACATATGAAGACCCCTGTCTCTACTAAAAACATTCGTTTAATTAGCTGGGCATGGCGGTGCCCACCTGTGGTCCCAGCTACTCAGGAGGCTGAGGCAGGAGGATCGCTTGAGCCTGGGAGCTCGAGGTTACAGTGAGTTATGATCACGTCACTGTACTCCAGCCTGGGTGAAAGAGTGAGACCCCGTCTCTTACGAAAACAAAACAACACCAAAAAGCATTCCTTTGGGTAAAGGCAGCAGCGACTTCTTAAGGTTTTTAATATAGAGTCCCCTGGAGAGAGTGCCACCTGAGCTTGGTCACCATATGTTGCCGTTTCCGGTAGCATGTGGGGCTTGGGAGGGAAGGAGGTGGAGGAAGGAATGTGCTGGAAGTGGTGTGGGTTAGTGATTCAGGGCCAGTGGGAAGTCCCTGGGGCAAGGCCCAGCAGGGGGCAGGACCAGGGCAGCTGAGGCCTCTAGTGTCCCCGGGAAGGGCTGGCTGGAGAGGACAGCTTCTGCATGGGGTTCCTGACAGTGCTGCTGAGCAAGTAGAGGTGACTGGTAAGGGGCCTGGTCCCTTCCCTGGGAGTCCCCTCCGTGGAAACTGCTCCCCGCTTCTCCCCACCCCTGCCCGGATGCTGCTCACATGAGGGCCCCCAGAGGGGCCGTTGCCTGCAGCCCTCTGACCCTGTTCTCTCCTGCGGTCAGCAGGCCAGGGGCCAGCCGTGACAGAGGACAACCCAGGCATTCCACGCTGCTGTAGCCGTTGCCACCATGGAGTCTTCAATACCCACTGGCGATGTCCCCGCTGCAGCCACCGGCTGTGTGTGGCCTGCGGCCGGATGGCGGGTGCTGGGAGGACCGGGGAGAAAGCAGGTAGGAGAGGCCAGGGGATGGAGGTGGGAGGGTGGGGGTCTCAGTGGGACTGCTCTGAGGCTGTGGCCATTTCTTGGCTGTCTCTCCCCAAAAAGCCCTTGCCACGCCCTGCTCAGCCCAGCCTCAGCCATCACTGCCCAATGACCCTCACAGCAGACTTCCCCTGTCCCCAGATCAGAGGGACACCCTGCCTCCTTGCCCACCCTTGAAGGAAGTCAAGTGCCCACTCTGTGCTGCCCACTAGCTCAGCTTGCACCTTCTTAAACCTGCTGTAACACTGTAGTGTGGTTATTATGCCTCCATTTTCCAGGTAAGAAAATCTCAGAGAGGTTAAGTGACTTGTCCAAGGTCACACAGCTAGCAAGTGTTGCAGCCAGGATTTAGACTCAGGTGTTCTGATTTCATCCTGTTCTTTTCACTGTGGTCAGCTTCCTCTCCCTTGGCTTAGCTTGGCTACTTGATGGCTTGGAATTTCCTGGTGTCCCAACGACATGGCCAAAAAAGAGTTCCAGGGTGAGATGTGCTTTGGAACATTCTCTTCTATATGGCTCTTGCAAAGCATCCCAGCGTATTAAGGCCTCTGCATTCTAAAAGCAAAGAATCCTGTGTCACTGTGTAGCCCAGGTTTCCCAGAAAGCACATGTTTTTTGGCTTGTTGAGCTCCCTGATTTAGATCTCCTTGCCCTTCTTCCCTGACCTTGACCTGTGGTTACCTTGATGTCTGGCCCTGCAGCTTCTCCCTTCCCACCCCACAGGCTCGCAGGAGCAGTCCACAGAGGAGTGTGCCCAGGAGGCTGGGCACCCTGCCTGTTCCCTGATGCTGACCCAGTTTGTCTCCAGCCAGGGTGAGGCATCTTGGAGGGGCGGGGCGTGCAGAGGGTGGCTCCCGAGGGAGATCAGCTTCCCGTGTGGCCGTCCCTCCCTCTGGTGCCATGCCCTTCTGCTTCCTGGGGCTGCCTGCCCACACTCACCCCCAAACTCCATCTCTCCTCTTTACCCCCTGCGCAGCTTTGGCAGAGCTGAGCACTGCGATGCACCAGGTCTGGGTCAAGTTTGACATCCGGGGGCACTGCCCCTGCCAAGCTGATGCCCGGGTGTGGGCCCCCGGGAATGGGGGCCAGCAGGTAAAAACCAGGCCATGGCACAGGTGACAGGGGACTAGCTGGTGGGCCCCAGGGTAGGGCAGTGTGCCTGCAAATGCCTGACCCTTGGGGGTGTCGGCCCTTTCCTTTCGATGGGGTGAAGAGGGAGAAGGAAGCCAGTGGAATTAGGCCCCTTCAGTAGAAGCGCTGGTCTGTCTTCTTGGTGTTCCCGAGCACATAGCAGGTGCTCGGTGAGCACTTTGCAAAGCTTTTATGAAGTTCATGTTTTTATTACAAGTCATCCATTCAAGAAATAGTTCACTGAATGCATTTTGGGTGCCAGACACTGTGCTACACACCCATCGTGGAAAATTTGGAAAATACAGACAAGTTTAAGGAAAAAAACAACAATGACCTCTCACGCCACCCTTAACATTTTGACATATTTCTTTCCAGTCATTTGTCTCCATGTTTATTCATGTCTATTTTAGGGCACACTTTAGACCATACTGTATGCAGAAGTCCACAGGCAACTTTTCCTACCTAACGTGGTACCCTATAACCGTTTTGCTCCTGGAAACACAATTTTAGTACTTGCAAGAGCCCGTGGTTAATTCTCGTGGGTTGAGTTGTGTCTGCCAGTTTTTAAAATCTCTGTTTGGATTGGGGGGTGGTGGATGCATTTCACAGAAGGAGCCGACGGATAAAACGCCCCCAACTCCACAACCTTCCTGTAATGGGGACACCAACAGGACCAAGGACATCAAAGAGGGTGAGCGGCTCCTCCTGCCCTGGGAACTGTGCTGGAGGGAGGCTGGGCCAGCATGTGGGGCAGGAGGGGAACAGACAGCGGAAGTGTCCAGGGACGACTTGGAGTTGGTCTAGCAACTCTTCAGCCCCACCAGCAATCTCTGTCCCTCCTCTTGAGATAAGCCTCCTAACCGCCTCTCGGGCCAGATTCCCCTTCTGAGCCCCTTCTTTTTAGAGGTTCTGCCTTCAGGAGAGGTGGTGGAAGTGGGGGGGACCCAGGGCAGGGTCGAGGTGGGGGTGCTGGTGGAAAGAGAGACCCAGCCGGGACTCGAGAGAAGCATGTTGTGGATAGTGGAGCCTCGAGAGGAGGGTGAGGGGCAAAACAGGGAGCCAATCACCGTTTGCCTCCCGGACAGAAACCCCGGACTCCACGGAGACCCCTGCAGAGGACCGTGCTGGCCAAAGGCCCCTGCCTTGCCCCTCTCTCTGCGAACTGCTGGCCTCTACTGCGGTCAAACTCTGCCTGGGCCACGAGCGGATACACATGGCCTTTGCCCCCGTCACCCCAGCCCTGCCCAGTGTGAGCAAGGGCACGGAGGGCGGGCTGGGAGCCCGGGGTAGAGGCTGGGGCCGGCCCTCCGTGCAGCGCCTGGTGGTCCTGAGCCCTCCTGCCCCTCCGTGCCTCCCCCCGCAGGACGACCGCATCACCAACATCCTGGACAGCATCATCGCGCAGGTGGTGGAACGGAAGATCCAGGAGAAGGCCCTGGGGCCAGGGCTGCGAGCTGGCCCCGGCCTGCGCAGGGGCTTGGGCCTGCCGCTGTCCCCGGTGCAGCCCCGGCTGCCGCCCCCCGGGGCCCTGCTGTGGCTGCAGGAGCCCAGGCCTCGGCGAGGCTTCCACCTCTTCCAGGAACACTGGAGACAGGGCCAGGTGAGGCTCCCTGCCCGCCCCCCCACCCCCACACCCAGGGCCCGGTCCCCACGATGTCCTGGCGCCCTTGTGACACACGCACCACGCCCACGCCGGCACCCCATGCGTTCTCCTCCTGTCTGCCTTCCTCTCCGCTACAGCCCGTGCTGGTGTCAGGGATCCAGAGGGCATTGCGAGGCAGCCTGTGGGGGACGGAAGCTCTTGGGGCGCTTGGCGGCCAGGTGCAGGCTCTGGCCCCCCTCGGGCCCCCCCAGCCCACAAGCCTGGGCAGCACGACATTCTGGGAGGGCTTCTCCCGGCCTGAGCGTAAGTGCCACTGCCCGGGGGGAGGGAGCCAGGAGCCTGAGCCCCAGGAGCTGGGTGGCACAGGAGTCCCAGTGTGACCTGGGGGTGGGAGCAGGTCCAGGGCAGAGACTGGACTCGTGTGCCGCTGCCACTGAGGCAGGAACCTCTGGGACAAGGGCCATTCTGTCTTCTCCCCCAGTTCGCCCAAAGTCAGATGAGAGCTCTGTCCTCCTGCTGCACCAAGCTCTGGGGGACGATGACACCAGCAGGTATGTGCAGTACTAAGGACCAACCCCCCCCCTCCTCCTTTGTCCCTGTGCCCACCCTGTGACCCTCAGAGATCCCACACTTGCCCTCTGAGAGTCTTCCCCAGCAGTGGGGGCTGTGATGGGGTCTCTGGTGTCTGGCTTGGGCCTCCTGGGCATGACCCTGTCCCTGTCCCGCCAGGGTAGAGAACCTGGCTGCCAGCCTGCCACTCCCGGAGTACTGTGCCCACCACGGGAAACTCAACTTGGCCTCCTACCTCCCGCCAGGCCCTGCCCTGCGTCCACTGCAGCCCCAGCTCTGGGCAGCCTATGGTGCGTGTCCCCTCCCCTCCTGCCCACTCCCCGTTCTGGTACCTGTTGTCTCGGGCACATGTGCGTCTGTGCCAAGGGCCTGGGGCTGAAGCATTTTTTGACTCTGTTCCCAACTGTCCTTTCTCCACCTCTGTGCAGGTGTGAGCCCACATCGGGGACACCTGGGGACCAAGAACCTCTGTGTGGAGGTGGCTGACCTGGTCAGCATCCTGGTGCACGCTGAGGCACCGCTGCCAGCCTGGCACCGGGCACAGAAAGGTAGGTCCCCTGCTGGAGACGGGACAGGGACGCACAGGAGTGGGCAGGCTGCAGGTGCGAGCGTCCGCTGCCCCATCTGAGCACTCCCCTCCCTCAGACTTCCTCTTAGGCCTGGACGGAGAGGGGCTGTGGTCTCCGGGCAGCCAGGTCAGCGCTGTGTGGCACGTGTTCCGGGCACAGGACGCCCAGCGCATCCGCCGCTTTCTGCAGATGGTGAGGAGGGAGCCGGGGGCCCTCCCCTTGCCCCCGCCCAGCCCCAGAAGCTCGTCCCGTCCGCCCACCTGAGCGCCCACCTGAGTGTGTGCTCCCCGTGTGCTCGCTCCCCGCCCCACTCCCCCAGGTGAGCCGGACAGTCTCGTCTCAGACAGGTCAGAGGAGGCAGGTGGGGCCCTCAGGTTCCTGTGGGGCTCAGGGAGAGAGCAGGTCCCCAGGCGGGAGGGCTGAGCCCTGCTGAAGCGAGGGCAGCCGCTGCAGCGGGCTGGGCACAGGGCTGGGGCCTTGGGTGCGTTGGCCCAGTTAACCGTCACCACCTCCCACTGAGGCAGGTGCTGCCACTGTCCCACTTTGCAGGTGGGAAAACCAAGGCTCGGTGGTACCGCTGGGATCAGAGCTTATGTCTGTCGCAGCCCCGGGTCACTACACTGTGCTCTCCCTGGGGACAGCTGGCCTCCCCTCCCTGGGCTGTGGTGGGGGGTGGGCAGGGGACAAAGGGGCGCCTTTCTGAGACACTGTCCTGCGGCCTCACCTTCTGAGGGGAGGCGTCCTGGAGGGGTGCTCCTGGAGGTGCTGGCAACCAAGGGGCTGAAGGTGGCTGCATGGCAGGGGGTGGAGAGATGGGCCAGGGAGGGGCAGGGGATGGAGAGATGGGCCAGGGAGGGGCAGGGGATGGAGAGATGGGCCAGGGAGGGGCTGGGGATGGAGAGATGGGCCAGGGAGGGGCAGGGGATGGAGAGATGGGCCAGGGAGGGGCAGGGGATGGAGAGATGGGCCAGGGAGGGGCTGGGGATGGAGAAGGGTCTGGGGGGGCAGGAGGCTCCTGAGGGCCAGGGGAGGGGGAGGCCAGGGGTAAGGTTAGTCGTCCCGGTGGTTCCCAAGTCCAACTGAGCCTTGATTGTCCTGGGGAAAGACACCCACCAAGTGTCACCCCTTGCTAAGGCACACACACACACAGACATGCAGAGGACCATGTGGTGTCCACCACCCTCCTGCCCACAGGCTCGCACACGTGTAGATGTGCACACAGTTGCTGGGACACGCAGACGACAGCACACCTCCGTACACAGATGGCCCCGTCTCAGCTGGGTGTGGCCAGCCGTGGGCTGTCCTATCCTGATGACTCACGGGGAAGGCTGAGGGGCACATTCTCGCTGGGTGGCCTGGGAAACACTGCTGAGCCAGGGTAGACCTGAGGCTCTGGGAGCAAAGGAGTCTTGGCACATGGCTGCGACTCCCCTGGGGTCCCGTCTGGTTCCTGGCCCTCCCCTCCCCCCATGGCCCAGCCCTATAGCCCTAAGCCCAGGGACAGCCACTGAGGTCCTCACTGAAGGGGGTGGATGGAGGTGGTGGCTGGTTGGAGCATGATGCTGGCGCTCACCTCTGCAGGTGCTTCCTGGCCGCTCCCTCCTCCTCCTCCTCCCTCCACAAGAGTCCCTGCCCCCCTGAGGGGCTCCCTGCTCAGCTGGGCTGGTGGAGGCCCCATGGCTGTGCCTGCTGCAGAGGGCTCTGCCTGGACAGGTGGGCCTGTCCCCCAGCTGTGTGGCCTTCCTTTCCTGGACCTGGGATCTTAGGAGAATCTGATAAATGCCTTGGGTTGTCTCCCTAGAGACATGTAGCTACCCACTCACCCACCACTTGGCACACATTTCAGGCCATTCACAAGACTGCAGGTTAAGAAATGCTGGTATAGACGGTTCCTGAATCGGGATTATGCAGCACCTCTCCCTGGGTTTTGCAGAAACGGGTCCCATTGAGAGGGGCAGCAGAGGGGGGCCAGGGCTGGGGCCACAGAGACTATGAGAGTCATCCAGCCCCATGAAAAGCAGGGTCTCAGGCCCCCACAGCGTTAGGGCCCTGAATCCTTTCCTCTAAGCTCCTTCCAGCCCAGTGATTATTCTGCCAACCTGAGCTGCCCCAGCCCCGCACCACCCAGCCCACGTCCTCCCCCCTGTCCCTCACTATCTGACTTGGGCCCCCAGCTCCTTCTGAGCCAGGCCTCCTGCAGCCCTGCTCCTCCCTCCCTGCCTCACTTACTCCTCCTTCTCTTCTTTGAGGTGTGCCCGGCTGGGGCAGGGACCCTGGAGCCCGGCGCCCCGGGCAGCTGCTACCTGGACGCAGGGCTGCGCCGGCGCCTGCGGGAGGAGTGGGGCGTGAGCTGCTGGACCCTGCTGCAGGCCCCCGGGGAGGCCGTGCTGGTGCCCGCAGGGGCTCCCCACCAGGTGCTTCCCCGTGGGAGGGGCTGTTCGGGAGATCAGAGGCCACCAGAGCCACATCACAAGCACAGAACGTTCTCCCAGTGTCCCGAGAGTCAGGCAGGGCAGGCCCTGTGGTGGGAAGAGGAAACAGGGAGGCTGAGTGGTCTTGGAGTCGTCAAAACCGACTAGGATGCGCCCCAGAGTCTGGCCCTGGCCCCCTTGGCATGCTGACGTGAAGGGGCCCCGTGTCCTCTCTGGAAGCCCTGTGGCCTGGCCTTGGCCATGGCCTTCGGGGTATCGGCTGCCTTACCCAGGGCTTCTGCTCTCTGAGAGCTGGCTGGGGTCCTTAGTGGAACTAGGCCTTGGGGACCAGAGGGGCAGGGGCAGGATGTGCGATCTTGGGCCTCCGCTGACCCTCCTGCTTGTGTCCTCTCTGACACAGGTGCAGGGCCTGGTAAGCACAGTCAGCGTCACTCAGCACTTCCTGTCCCCTGAGACCTCCGCCCTCTCTGCTCAGCTCTACCATCAGGGACCTAGCCTGCCCCCCGACCACCGCCTGCTTTATGCCCAGGTGAGTGTGACACTGGCCAGAGGGCTGCCAAGTCCCCGGTGGCCCAGCTGCGGTGGGCATGTCGGAGCCAGCCCTGTGCCAGGCAGGCAGGCGGCCGCTGTGCACGGAGGAAGGTGTCCTTCCTGGGCGGCGTGAGGGCGGCAGGGGCCTGGGAATGTGGCTGACAGCTGTTTGTCTTCTCTCTCCTAGATGGACTGGGCTGTGTTCCAAGCAGTGAAGGTGGCTGTGGGGACATTACAGGAGGTCAAATAGGGGGCTCCCAGGTGTCTGGGGTAGGAGTCAGGGCAGGTAGACCAGGTGCTCGGGTGGGCACAGCTACAGCGGCAGCAGGGAAGGATGTAGGGAGATTTGGGGGCTTTTGGTCCATCCCACAAACACCTCTCTGCGCACAAGCAGGGCACCCCCTTCCCCACCCCGGTCCCGGGCCCTAAATCCAACCATCACAGTACCACTGAAGCTCACACCTGCCCCACCCCTGCATCCCTTTTCAGGGTACCAGGCCCACACTGGGGGTGACTGATTCCCCCAACCTCGTCCCCTGCCCAGGAGACAAGCAGCCCTTCCTTGGGGGACCTTGGGAATCATTCTGGCTTAAGCAGTACCTCCTCACGCCGCCTCACCCTTGCCGTCCCACCTGCACCCCGGCTGTGCTTACGCCCACACCCCTGCATCATCACTGGGCTCACTGCAGGCACTCTGGACAAGGGGCCCCAAAATCCTGCCCTCCTGCCAGAAGAGCTGAGAGGTGTGGGGAGGGGACAGCGTCAGGGACTGCCCAGGCTTGGCTGCAGGGAACAGCGTGGGCGATGCCACCCTGCCCTGCTCCCTCTGCCCACCCCCTCCTTCGTGATTTCCATTAAAGTCTGTTGTTTTGTGAAGGCTGCCAGTGTGGTTGGCCCCGCTCCTGCAGGCCACATGGTCCGGGAGGGAGGGGAGATGCGGAAATCTGCTCCAGAGCAGAGGCAAAAGGAGAGGGGTGGGCCAGGGGCCAGGGTGGCAGGGACCTCGAACCCACGCCTGCTCTTCTCCCACTGAGGAGCAAATGCTCCTGACTGCGGCAGCAGGTGGGCCCTGCAGAGTGGTGGCGCACAACGGTGAAGGGGCCTCCCTGTGTGGCATTGGCATCAGCCTGCAGAGATCCCAGCGCCCACCCCTCCCCGAAAACGCCAGGCTACCCCATCTCTGCCATCTGCCTTGACCTAGACATCCAGGAGTGTGGCCCACGAGAGCCCCTGCCCAGCCCGTCTGCCCTTGGTGGCCATGACTGGTGCCAGGCCCATCCAGCCACCCCAGGATGAGCCTCACTGCCCCGGACAGCCAACCTCCCTCCTGTCCCTCCCAACGCCCACAGCCCTCAGGTGGGACTCTGCCCTCTCCCCTTCCCTGTGTATCCCAGACCCACACAAACCATGCCCCAGCTCTTGTCATGCCTAATTGTTTCTGCTGTGGTTTGGGGAATATTTTTTATTAAATAAAAATTTTTATTATAAAATGTAAAAATACTTTCCGAACATTTAGAAAAAAAGAAAATCACCTGCAAGCCCCTCTCCACTCGCTGGGCCCCAACCACTAAGAGTATTTTGGTGCCTTTCCTTCTAGAATCTTCTCCTAGGATCTACAGTACACATGGCTGGATTGGGGTGCCTTGGCTTTGGTTTCTTTCTTTTAACACTGTATTGTAGTCATTTTCCCTGCTACTGTCTTTGCACCTTCATTTTAAATGCCAGCCTGTAGCCATTAAGTAGCTTTGCCATGACTTACATAACCATCCTTTGTTGAAAAAAAAATGTAGATTCCTTCATTGTTTGGATAGCTCAGTTATTTTGACTTTTTTATGGGATAAAAAAAGAAAAGAAAAATTAGAGAACTCCTATATTTTTGCTGTGCAACTGTTTTCATTTAACTTATCTCATTTAATCCCTGTCATTGAAATGATCTCATTTAATCCCTTGCTCACTATTTTGAGGTAGACACGATTTATTTCCATTTTACAGAAGAAGAAACAGGAAGGCTGGGGTTCAAGTCAGTTACCCAAGGTCACACAGCATTGTAGTGGCAGACTGGGATTCGAACCAAGTGTTCTCACTCAGGCCACCCCGTTTACTTTATGGTCTTAGCTCTTAATGGAGTTTAAAGATAGCTTGCCCTCCTCCTTCCGAAGTATGCACTTTACAGCTGATCGTGTTCCAAGTAGCACTGAATGACCCATTTCTACCTACGCTTCACCTTCTAGAACTGTCTCTGTGCCACCCCAGAACCCAATATATGGGGTCCTTCGGGTGGGAAGATGGCGCTCTTCATTTTGTGCAGTGGGGGCAGGGATGGCACAGTCACTGGGTCCCCTCTTCCCCTTCTCCCTTCCAGGTGGGTCACAGCACCCTTGAGGCCGTGTCCGGTCTGACTATAAATAGCAAGTGGACCAACGTTCGAGTGTTCCAGGACTGGACCTGGGAATGCGGCCAGACCAGGTGGACACTGGCCCTGAGATTCAGCTTGGAGCACTTGGTGGCACTTTTAATTCCCCCTGGAGGCCCTTGGGCCCCTGCTTCTCCCAGGGCCACCAGCTCATTGGCCACCCTCTGCCTCCAGCCCCCTCTGTCTGGCCCAGATATCCCAGACACACAACTCGCAGAGGCGGAAGTGAGCGTGGGGTGTGCATATTCAATGCCTTCTTTTCCTTTTCTGTTGAAATTCTCAGACATTTTAATTTTGAAATCCTTTTAGATTTACAGCCAAGTCACAAAGATAGCACAGAGAGTTCCCAATCATCCTTCACCCAGCTTCCCCTAATGTGAACATCTTACGTAACACCAGGGTACCTTTATCAAAACTGCAAAATTAACACGGACGTGGCATTATTAATGAAGCAGTGGGCTTCACTGGCATTTCGCCAGTTCTGTTAACGTCCTTTTCTGTTCTAGGATCCAGCAATGCCTGAGTTGGACAGCTGGCCTAGAGGGTACATGTGGCTGTCCCAGGGTCACTCAGAGCTGGTGGCAGAGCCCAGCCTGCAGCCAGCCCTCCCCCCTCCCCTGCAGCCTGGGCTCTGCCCTCCTTACCCTTCCTCCTTTGTCAAGAGACCAGCCTTGCTGCTCCATAAACGACTCTAGCACCACAGACACCCTTGCCCCACCCTGCCTGTCTGTCCCGGGCCTGGTCCCGGTCCCTGAGGCTGCCTACCCTAGGCCTCCCTGCTCACACGCTCACACGCACATGTGCTCGCACATGCCCCAAATCGTCTGGCTCGGGCTCCGCTCCCATGGGTGCTGGGAGCAGTCAGTTCACTCCCGTCGTCCACCGCGCCCTGCGGCCAGCCACGCCGGCTGTGCGCTTCCCTCTGTGGGACTGGAGGGCACACCGCAGATGTGACGGAGACCTTGGCGCTCCCATCCATTTCCCTCCCTCCTTGGCTGCTGTCCCTCCAGCCTCTGTCTGACCGCTGCTCTCTCCTTCCCCAGGCCCTGAGAAAGTCTGCTTCTTGTTGTCTCCTCCGTACCGCGGGAAGGGCTGGGCACACCCCTTCACAGTTTACAAGGGGCTTCTGGTGTGTTCTGTTGCCTCACACCCCGCTCACCGCAGGGGCGATCAGGCCCACTCGACAGGGAGGAGCGCTTTCCCCGGGGGCAGACAGGGGAGTGGAGCTGTGGTTGTTGCAGTCTTGGCCGTTCCAGGCCTTCTGGTGTTTACCTTAGGCGCCTCTGAAGCTCTCAGAACCCTGCCCAGACATGACCTCACTCTCGCTCAAATCATCCCCGGGAGGCAGAAAGGAATCTGCCCCCACTTCACAGATGGGAAAACTGAGGGCTAAACACATACAGCAAATATGTTGACAAGCTGCTCTGCAGCCGGGAGTCCTGACTCTCAGCCCCAGGGAGCGCAGGTGTTTGGGAGGTGGGGGGTCTAGGATAGGGCCTGGCCCACCAGCGTGTTCGGCAAGTGCCTCCAACACCGTGGGCCCTCCCAGGCCCCCCATGATTAACCCAGGGCCCTGCCTCCGGGGAACCTGCAGTCAGAATCCCGAGGTGACAAGGGCCTAAAGAGGCCTATCTGGTGTTGCTGGAATTCCTGAGAGTCAAGTCTGGCGCTCAGGCAGCTCCGTGGGCACATTCCATGAGGATGGGCCTTCCTGCAGCACCAAGAGCTGCGGCGGAGAGGGCCCAGCCTGGAGGGTGGAGGGCTGCCTGGTGACGGTGTCCAACACTGGACAGTCCACACAGCTCTTCCCTGAATGTCTTGCATTTTTGACAGCCCTGTAAGAGAAGAGCTGTTATGACCACATTCTACAGATGAGGAAACTGAGGCCCACAGTTACCCAGGGCCACAGAGCAAGCTGCAGCGGCCCATGTCTGGCTCCAAGTTCTTGTGCTCTGTCCACACCACCGTGCCACTGTCCCCCGCCCCCAAAGGGAGGTGTGCAGAGCAGCAGGTGGGAAGAGGGAAGGGGAGCCCTCCTGGAGGCGGGGGTGCCCAGACTAGGCTTGGCTGGCAGATTCCTTCCAGCTGGCCCTGCCTTCCGTCCTGAGAGGAGGTTAAGGGAGGCTCTGAGGAGGAAAGGTCAGGCTGGGAGAGAAGCAGGAGCTCGACAAAACAGCCCACACCCTGCTCTCCGCCGCCAGGCGCTGCGTACTGGGTGCGAGGGCGAGGACACCGGGCACCACCCGGCCCTCCGAGGGCTCACGTCTGCAGCAGAGACGGCCTGGAAGCTGCGTGGGAAATGCCGTGGGCAGGGGGACAGTGACGAGGGTGGGCTGGCTAATCTCAGCCCTCTCGCCCCATGCCTCCTCCCTCCCCAGGCTTGCCACCTCCCTCCTCTGAGCACCTGTCACTCTTCCCGCCCAAACCAATCATTTAGCACTTAGCCTACAACCCTCAGCTCCCTCCATCAGACGTCTGTGTCCCTCTTCCCGACTGGAGCAGCCTCCCTTCCAAGGCAGGGGTTTATGTCCCTCTGGTCACGTGACATTTGGTACATTTTTAGCGAAGAAGAAAGTTACTTGGGAAGTGATCATCTCCGTTAATGCAGTCGTATATGTTTATGACAAAAGCGGGACAGTGGGTCCAAGGGGCGGCCCGGGCCCCGTGACGTCATCGGTCTCGTGACGTCACCGTCGCTGTCACCGCGGCTCAACGCACCCTGCAGGCGGGATGACGCCACCGTCGGAACCCGAGCGGGCAAGTGCGTGCAGGGGGCACGAGCGAGGCCGGCAGCGGGGAGGCGCCCCGAGGGCGAGCGAAAGAGGACCAACTCGGGGGCGCACGCTGTGCTGGCCAGCTCAGGGCCTCGGCCAGGCGCCCACCCCGTGACGGGCTGGCCACGCCCCCTCGGTGGCGCCGCGGACCAATCCAGGCAGGCCGCGGCGGGCCGCAGCCTATCAGCGGCCAGGGCTCTCCGGGCGCTTCCGCGTTGGCGACCGTGCCTGGCCGCGGCCGCAGGGCAGGGGCAGGGGCAGGGGCGCCGGGCCCCACGCTCGCCCGCGACGCGTCCCGCTGTGCTCGGCCGGCCTGCGGGGGCCCGGCCCGCCGCCTCGCAGGCGACCCGATGACCTCGGAGGGGCTGGCGGGGGCGCTGGCGGCAGTGCTGGGGGGCCGGGGGCTGCTCGTGCAGGGCTGTGACTCGGGGCCGGCCGGGGAGGCGCTGGCGCCGGTGCGGCTGCGGAAGAACGTCAGCTACGTGGTGCTGGCCGTGTTCCTCAACGAGCAGGTGAGCGTCCGGCCGCCGGCCGCCGGGGCTCGGGAGCGCGCAGCCAGCCCCGGAGCGCACAGGAGCCCTAACGGCCACAGCCACCGCGGCCGGCTGTGTGCGTGGCGCTTCCCAGTTTTGCAAAGCACTCCCCTTTACTCTTGCATCTGTGCCCTGCGAGTGTCCCGATGCATCGATGAGGAAACTGAGGCCCGGGCGCCTGTTTTTCTCATCCCACTAGGCCTCATTCCTTGCGAAGAGGGCTGTTGTATTCCTCTTCCTTTCCCGAGTCTAGCAGAGTGCTGGGCGCGGAGAGGGCGCTCGTGAATGTCCGTCCAGGGCCCCACGGGGAGCCACGGCAAAACCCTGGCTTATCCTCAGGCCTTGGGTGCCCATCCGTGTGCTCCTCGGTGTAGTAAGAGCTAGAAAGGGCCAGGGCCCTAGGGCAGGGTTATACAGGGGAGGGTCATATTTGAAAACCCAGACTCTAGCGTGAGCACTGACCACAAGCAGTATGTAAACCACGATGGAGGCCGAGATACACTGTCACACATGCTGACACGACTCCGTGCAGGACACAGGGTAACCCTCACTCTGGGGCCTAATCTCCCACACCCGGAATCTCCACCCCTTTGTGAGGAGGAATGGCAGAGAGGAGATGGCTGCAGCCCCAGCCACGACAGGGCAGTTCTCCGGGGAGGAAGGGAGTTGTGGAGACCAAGCCCCAGCGCCAGGGAAGGTCTGTTGGTCTGGGAGCTCAGCCAGCAGCCTTCCCTAGCCCTGGGCCGGCTGAGGTGGGCGGTGAAGACTCCCTGTCTCCCCTCAGGATGAGGTGCTACTGATCCAGGAGGCCAAGAGAGAGTGCCGGGGGTCGTGGTACCTGCCCGCAGGGAGAATGGAGCCTGGTGAGACCATCGTGGAGGCGCTGCAGCGGGAGGTGAAGGAGGAGGCCGGGCTGCACTGCGAGCCCTTGACGCTGCTGTCTGTGGAGGAGCGGGGCCCCTCCTGGATCCGCTTCTCGTTCCTCGCTCACCCCACAGGTACAGCCCACCTGGTGGCAGTGTGAGCGTGGGCCAGTGTACACCTCTCCTCCCAGCTGGTCCTCCCAGCTCGTCCTCTGGCTGGTACGGGCTGGCACAAGCAGATTCGGGCTCGAGGGCCCAGAGCCTCCCCACTAGGTCAGGGGGTCTCTGTTTACTCAGCCAGACCCCCACTTCTCTCAACGCCGGCCCTCCCCCCATCCCCTGAATCTCCCCTAGGTGGAATTCTCAAGACTCCCAAGGAGGCAGATGCGGAGTCCCTGCAGGCTGCCTGGTACCCTCGGGCCTCCCTGCCCACACCGCTGCGGGCCCAGGACATCCTGCACTTGATCGAGCTGGCTGCCCAGTACCGCCATCGAGCCAGGCACCCCTTCATTCTGCCCCAGGAGCTTCCCTGCAGTGTGGTCTGCCAGCGGCTTGTGGCCACCTTTACCAGCGTGCAGACGGTGTGGGTGTTGGTGGGCACCGTGGGCATGCCTCACTTGCCTGTCACCGCCTGTGGTCTCACCCCCATGGAGCAGAGGGGCGGCATCAAGATGGCTGTCCTGCGCCTGTTGCAGGAGTGTCTGACCCTGCACCACTTGGCAGTGGAGACCAAGGGATTGCTGGGACTGCAGCACCTGGGCAGAGACCGTACAGATGGCATTTGTCTGAATGTGCTGGTGACCGTGGCTTTTCGGAACCCAGGTATCCAGGATGAGCCCCCAAAGGTCCGGGGTGAGAACTTCTCTTGGTGGAAGGTGGTGGAGGAAGACCTCCAAAGCCAGCTCCTACAGCGGCTTCAGGAATCCTCCGTTGTCCCAGTGAACAGATAGGAAGGTGGCAGCAGGAGCCGGGAGCTGGGCAGCCATGCTTCCCTTTGAGGGAGGCAGGAGGCTGGTGATCTTGGACCTTGTTGCCTTGGGAATGGGGGTTCTGCAGAGCAGACCCCTACGTTGCACCACAAGGGACTGTGCCTTTAACTGAGCGAGTCCAAAGCACAGGCCTGATTGCCGTGGGGACACACTGAGTCTTCTCACTAAGGGGATGAGGATGGGGAGTTCTCTGAACCCCAGATGTCATCTGCTTATCTCTTTCTGTGCCCACCTTGGTAAAGGCGTATGTCCTGGTCTTGCCAGGCACTTAGAACCTGGAGGGCACCTTGCTGAGTAAATAGGTGTTGCTCACCTTGCCTTTCCTGCCTAAATGTCTCTGTGGGGAGGAAGCTGGGGGGGGGGCAGGCCCTTCAGCCACCAACAGCCAGCCAGGCCTGTCCCAGACAGAGTGGCAGGGCCAGCCTGCTGGGGCTGGGGCTGTCTCTACCTCGCCTGTGGGGCGGGGCATGACTGTGAGGGACCACATAGCTCTGAATGCTCCAACATGGGGCAGTGGGGACCCCCGGGGAGCTTCAGGTGGGACAGGAGGTGGGGACACCGGCCCACTCCTGTCTCCCTGGGCCTCCCTGGCTCTGACCACCCCTGCACCTCTGCCTTTTCACAGCCTCAGCCTAAGCCCAACCAAACCTTTTCTTCATTTCCCTTCAGCCCAGCTGAGTCATAGCAGGATGTTTTTGTATTAATAATAAAAGAACTTCACTACAATTTAAGGGAAAACCAAAGGAAATGAAGAAAATAGACTGTGTGCTCATCACGGCGACTACAGCACAGATTTCTGATTCTGTGCAGGGAAACGCTTGGGTGGCTTCCCTGCTACGGGTCTACACTCCAGCCCTGCAGGGCCTCTTCCCAGCCCCCTCCCCCTGCCTCTCCTGGCTGCCACCTTGTCTTGCTGGCCCCTGGAGGCAAGGAATCCTCCTCCCCTCCAAGGACAAACATCTTGCAAATGATGGAACCAAACCCTTTTATTTGGTTCACTTCTGCCTGTGGGTAATCCCTCAGATGGGCAATGATATTTGCTCCCACTAGAAGCTTCCAACCCTGGATGCACATTAGGATCACCTGGGGAGCTTTAGCATTAGCTCTGGGCCCACCCTGAGTGACATAGATTTAAATGGTGGGGTTGGGCATTGGTGTTTTACAAAGCAACCCAGTGACCCCGACATGCTTGAGCTAAGAGCCACTGGCTGGCCCGTTCTCCTCCAAGTTCACAGCTTGCCCTGCCTTGGAGTCCTCTGGGTGACTCCCTGGGAGTATGCCACCACCCCTCCACACATATCCAAGGACAAAGTCTGTTCAACATTAGGCCCACTGTTTACAAGTCAAGCCGTACAACACGCAACATAAACAAGTCAAAAGGGACGTGCACACAGATGCAGCCACATGGGCCGTCCCCTCCTGGCGTGTCCAAGGCTAGCAGGCGCGCAGTTGTAGGTGAGCCGAGCAGAAACAGCGTTGCCCCGCCAAGAGTCTGGTTCCTGGCAGGCACTGAGGAACGTCAGATTTGCACTGCCAGAGCCTGTCTGTTTACCACCACCCCCCAGTGCTGGAAAAAGAACTTAATTTGTCTTCCTTGGGGGGTGGAGGGGAAGATGGGCCCAAATTAGCAGTGGAGCCCTGGGCAGCAGGACACAAAGCATGGAGAACAGAGCCACCGTGTCCACATAATCACGCCATTTATTGCTGTGCTGTCTGGGAAGACACTGTGCAAACACCAAAGTGCGCTGAGGAGAGGGGACGGTCTGTGAATTGCAGCCCCTCGAGTGCTTTATGATTCTAAGAGTCCAGACGCAATCCACCCACTGAGATCCGCTCCCCTGTCCAGACCGACACCCACGTGCGTGCACACACATGCGCACGGTGTGCCGTGCAGCAGCGAAGTCCTCCCCCGCTGGGAGGAATGCGGGAGAGGCAGAGGTCACTGAGTTCCCTCCTCTTTCATGTCACCTCTTGGCAACCTGCGCCCGGCTTCCAAAAGCCGCATGGGCAGGAAAAGGAAGCGAAAGGAGCTCTGGCCTGCTCCTCCTTGCCCAGGAGCGGAGCCAGCAACTGCAGTCCCGCTGTGAGGTAATGGCTGGCGCTGCCCGTGTGTGCCTGCAGGTCGAGACAGATTTGGGCCGGGTGGGGTAGCAGCCCCTGCCATGGAGGGCACGCAGGGAGAACAACAGCAGATCTGGCTGCCTGCGCCTCGGCCCCTCCCCGCCAGGCCGGGCCTCAGGGCCTGGAGTCGGGGGCAGCCGGCCCTCATCTGGACCCCAAGCTCCCTTGCTCCCCTGGAAGGGCATGCCTTGAGAACACCGGGCGCTGGGCAGGCGGCAGAGGGCAAGGCCCGGCCTCCCTGGTCTCTGACCTCTCTGCCCAGGTGTTGCGGACCTGCCGAGACGGGTTCAGAAGGCGCCAGAGAGAAACCAGCTGGAGCCGTAGCCTGGCCCCCGGCTCCCCAGGCCCTCTCCCGCCCTGGCTGCAGCTGCAGCAAGGTTCTCATTAACAGCTGCCCCCGCCTGGGCGCGGAGCATGCTTTGGGCACTTGCCATGAGGAGGCTGGGAATTTGCAACAGTCTCCAGGAGGCAGAGCAGGAAGAGGGGCTTCCCCGACTGTCCCCTTCACTGCGCCATCTCCACGGGCCAAGTCAAGAAGGCAGGGAAAAAACGTCAAGTCTCAGCAGCTTCCAGGGTTCCTAATGTGACAGACAGGGCTCCTGGCCCCATCTCTCTGGCCCGGGTTCCGACCAGCCTTGGAGCCATCAGCTCCCTCCCCGCCCCTTCTGCCTGGGAATCGAGTCACAGGTTTTGGCCCTGGCCACAAATGGCCAGTACAGAGGGGCTCAGGCACACAGCACGTGAGGGTGTGGGCGCTCACCTGGCCACCACCCAGCTCCTCTGAGAAGGCCTCAAGGACACCATGCTGCCTGGGGAGCCATCTCTTTGGCTCCTGGGCACCGGGTACCTTGGAGGCCTACTCTCTGAAACAACACCAAACCCAGGCCGGTGCGCTCAACAGTTCCAGGTCTCCGTGAGCGAGCCTGAGAGCCAGAGCCCCATTGGGGAGGGTGCGGCGGCAGTGCCAGGCGGGAGGCAGCTCTGGGGCAGAGGTGTGGACAGCAGTCTACCACCATCCTGCTCCTGGCTCAGACTTGCCCTTCCGGGGGTGGGGACAGGTTCAGGTGAGGACCACGTGGGGGAAACTTGACGAAAGCGATGGCGGCCAGCTCCTTGCAGAATTCCTCCAGCACCACCACGCCCTGAAGGAGGGTCTGGTGGTCCAGCCTGCGGGGGGACAGCACAGGGGCCACGCTGGGAGGTGATGGGAGTGCACCCAGAGTGACAGCCCAGTGTCCGCAAGGCTGGACCCCTCCCCGGCCAGAGGCGTCTTCTGCCTGCCCACCCCAAGGCTTCTTTCTCCTGGCACCCGTTCCCCTCGGTACTTACTGCTCCCCAGGGACCTGGCCCATCAGCTGCTTGCGCACCAGGAGCAGTTTGCCTGGGAACTGGGGGACCCTCTGAATTCTCTGCATCAAGTCCCCAATCACCTAGAACGGGAACCACATAGGACTAAGAAGGGGCCAGAGACGCTCCATCAGGGTACCCTGGCCTTGCCACGCTGTGGCGGGTGGGGAGGGTGCGGATCTGTGCTTGCCCTGGCACTGGCAAGGGTGCCCACTCCTCCAGCCCCCAACCACCCTGCCCTGTGCCCCTTCCTTCTCGCCCCCCCAGCCCCCATGGGGCACAGTCGCCCTCACCCTGACGAGCACGGAGAACAGGCTCCTGCAGCCGGGGGCCAGGCTGACATACGGATCCAGGAGGTACTCGTGGATGTGGGGGTGGGGGAAGAGGGCGAGCCGGGACAGGACTGAGGTCACCTGCAGGTTCAGGCTGTATGGCTGTAGGGAACACGGTGGACAAAGCCGAGGGTTGGCAGGGTGGGAGCTTTTTCGCACTCCCCCAGCAAGGCGCCTGGCCGGTGTGAACGTGTGCGGGGGTGGGAGGCTCACGTGATGTGTGTGTGTCATGGATTCCATGGGGCTGAGGGCCAGAACGTGTTAGGGCGTGTGGAGCAGAGGCGAGATGGGGCTTCCCGCCCGGGGAAGGGGGGTGGGAGCCATCGTGGGGCTGGAGAACCCAGGAGGGGTCGACCCCGTGGTCAGCCCCTGCTCTCCCTAAGGACTCCGAAGGCACCAGCCTGGAGTCCTCCTGTGGGCCCCGGCCTGTGGGCTACCTGATCCAAAATCCGGGACATGCGGTCAAACAGCACTCGGAGAAAGTGGCCCTCGAAGAAAGGCAGTTCGGGCTCGTGGGGGTCCAAGGGTGTGGGACCCAGAGGCCAGCACCAGGAGGCGACGCGGGAGCTGCACTCCTGGAACTGAGACAGGAAGGGAGAGGGGAAAGAGGGCCGAGCGGTCAGGAGGAGGCGGCAGATGGGGGGACCCTGGGCAGGAGGGATGGGCTTGGGGGGTGGTCCTTGGACAGGCAATCAAACACAGAGTTTATCAGCCCAAGAAATGGGAGCTGGCAGCGGCCGACACTCACCAGGCCGTAGGCATCGTGGACGTACGTGTCATAGCCTGTCTCCTCCAGGAAAGCTGAGGTCTTGGCTTCCTCGGGGACCAGGCAGAGGAAGCTGAGAGACAGGAGGCCAGGTGTGGAAGCGTGCCCCCTGGGCTTCCCCTGCTCGCTGGACCCCGTCTTCCACCCTGGCCAGACCCCATCAAGGCTGTGGCCAAAGACAGAACAAACGCAAGGGGCTGCAACTGCCTAACCCGCTCCCCACCTGTTCACGATCTCCGTCACTGCCGTTTTGCCGTCTGCGTTGGGGGCGGGCGCTGGGCGAGGCTTCGCGGAGGGCTGCAAGCCAGGACCGAGGAAGCCGTCTGTGAAGTAGGGGTCTTCCTCCAGATCTCTGTGGCCGGGGCAGAGCAGCACAGCGCCAATGAATGAATGAACAGAGACACGGAGTGTAGCTGTGCTCAGGGCTGGACTGGGTCCCGTGGGGCCGGGTCTCACTTACAGGGTGTCCTCATAGTTCTCAGGCTCCGGCGAGCCCCGGGCCACATACAGGCGGCCCTCGAGGTGGCGCAGGATCAGGCTGTGGAGGATCCACTCGTGGGGCTTCTGGAGCAGCTCCTCGAACAGCCGCAGCGTGGCGATGCTGATCTGCGGCCAGACGTGGGTCAGCAGGACGGCCCTGCCCCACCCGGCCCCGAGCGACCCTGGACCTGGTGGCCCGCGTAAGACAAGGCCTCCCTCGGCCGGCCGGGGCAAAGCTGGCAGGCTTGGGAGAGTGGGTGGGTGTTGGCCTAGGAACCAGGAAGTCGGGGTGGTCCCCGCTGTGCAACTGATTTGATGTGCAGCCTCAGCAAGCCAACTGGCTTCCTGTGGCTCAGTTTCCACGTCTGAAAAATGGGAGCCTCAGCCTCACTCCCCTCACAGAGTGGTTGTAAGCCTCACACAAGCCAAGTGAATATAAACGCAGTTTGCAAAATACACAGCGTCACACAAAGGATGCGACCACAGAACATTAACGTGTGACAAAGACAGCCTGTGTCGCCGTTTTGTGGGGTTGAATGCCTCAGAGGCGGAATCACCTGGGAAAGCTAATGAGAATGGGAGGGAGCGTTCTGGAAATGCCTTTGTGAAGGTGGGGGGTGAGCAGAGAGGCGCCCCTCCCGCCGCACCTCGTCGGAGAGGTGGTCGCAGTGCCGGATGAGGTGGGCACACAGGGCGCGGGGGTTGTCCTCGGGGCCTTCGGGCTGCGGGTCTGTGCCCAGGAGGAAAGCCACGGCCTCTCTCAGCAGCGCGGGGGAGCGGAGCTGGCGCAGCATGGCGGTGAGGAGGGCGGTGGAGGTCAGGATGCTCTGCTCAGACCTGCGGGGGCAGGGAGGCCCGGCGCTCAGAGCCAGGCTGGGGCAGCAGCGCAGGAGCGGGCAGCAGGTGATGGCGGGGCGGAGCCCTTTCCTGGTTCCTTACATCTTTGGCTAGCGTGCCTCCTGTCACTTCCCTGTCCCTACAGGGGTCCTGAAGGGTGGGAGGCCTCTGCGTAGCCCAAGGCTAAGCTCAGAGCCTTGTGCACGGCAGGGGCAGGCCCGGCAAACGTTACTGGTGGAGTCCACAGAGGTGACTCTGGACAAGGAGGTCCCCGGCTTTAGGGACAGGAAGGGGCTTGGCAGGCAGTTTGATCCAGACCACGGCTGCACCCAAGGGAACGGGGCACACGCTTACACGTGCAGGAGCTGTGGCTGCAGGCTCTCCACAAACAGCTTCTCGGCCACAGCCTTGGCCAGGGCATCCGCCACCACCTGGGTGCCAGGAAGCATGTCATCAAGGTGTTTTATACCCACCACGATCTTCCACTGAGAAACAACCGTGTCCTTGTGCAAGCCTGAGCCAGTAGAGGGGCCTGGCTACCCCAGGGTGCTGCTCGGCTCCCAGACCCCATGTTTCCCAGCATCCCTGAGACAAGACGGTGAGGGAGCAGCGTAGGGGAGCCCCGTCCACACCCGCCCCGCTCACCGCGTGTGCCTCTGTGATAAGGTGGTCACAGTAATCAAACCAGCCCAGGAAGGCAGCCAGGGCCTCCTTGCCAGGGAAGGAACCCTCATCAGACGGGGCGCTGGGCAGCCTGCAGGGAGAGGGAGGGAGGGGCTTTGAGGTCTTCCTCAAGGATGTCCTGGAAGTGGGGCCCTTCCGCCCTCCCCCACAGAAATTCCGTGGCTGGGGGTCAGTTCTCTTGGGGGCTTTGTGGTCAGAGGCAGCAAGAGCGATGCTTGCCTGGAGGGCGAGAGGCCCTTGGGGATCAGCTGCAACCTCAGGAAGAGGGTGGCCAGCGGGGTCCCCAGCCCACCTGGAACACCAGAGGAGCTGGCCACCAGGAGACAGGCAGGGCTTCCTGCCACCGAGGGTGCTGCCCACCTCCCCTGGCTAAGGACCCACCTCCAGCTGATGCCCTCCAAGGCGGCAATGTCTGCAGGGTCGAGGAAGGCAGGCAGGGACTGGTACAGCTGGCACAGGTGCTCGGCGATCACAGGACAACAGGGGCTGCTCTGCACCAGGTAGGTGGCAGCCGCCTGGGAGGCCACACTTACCAGGAGCAGCAGGTTCTCCTGGGCCTTCAGCACCACCCGACTCTTCTAGGGAGTAGGGTGTGACTTCAGGAACATGAATCTGAGCCCCCAGCAGCCTCCCAGTGACCACCCCACCCCTCCCGGCGCCCAGCCTCCACTCTCTGCAGCCGGCACCTTGCTCTTGCACAGGCCAAGCAGGGAGGTGATCAGGTTGCTCTCCCCAGTCCCACAGTCCGGCTCCTCGGTCTCAGCAGGTAGGTGGCTGTTTGAGGCCTGGGCCCCAGATAGCTCCCCGTCCCGCTGGGTACCCCTGGAAGGAGCACTGCTGTGGGAGTGGTCTTTGTCCCTGTGGCCGGCTGTGTCCCTCGGCAGGGCGGTGGAGTCTCTGGGTGCCTTCTTCCTGCCTATGGTCTTTTTACCCTGCGGGGAAGGTGGGATGAGGCCGGGTCACAGTGGACGCCATTCCCTGGGGCCCCCATCGGGAATGCAGGGTGGGTGGGCCGGCTGGGGGGCAGTCTAAGCGCCTCCCTGGCTGGCACCTGGGGTCCTGCCCTCCCCCATCCTGAGGGGGTGTGCATACTTCCAGGATGTAGGCGAGCAGCTCCGGATCCTGCTGGATCTTGGAGCAGAGGACGGTGGTGAACTGCACCTCCTCCTTTTCTGTTAAGGACCCAGGAACCGTCCCGCCGAGGCGGAGAAGTTTCTGGAAGGGGAGCAGGATACAAACAGAAGGGAATGGGCGGCAGGGAAAAGGGGGCCTCGTGCCCAGACACTGGTGGCTCCCGGGCCTCACCTGCACGGGCCGGTGGACGCTGAGGTAGTGCAGCAGCGGGTGCTGCACCTGGGCCAGCACCTTGCTGAAGAACTGGAACACCTGCTGCCGCATGCCAGGCGGATACTGGGGTCGGGAACAGAGGCCTCGTCAGAAGACCAGGCCATGCTTGGCCACTGCCCGGAATGCTTCTCCCCCAGAGAGCCACCTGGCTCAGGTTCCCCTTTCAGTCAGGGTTGGGGGGGCACCTCCTCCACAAGGCCTCCACCCCTTGCCACGGTGCTAGAAACCAGTCTCCCTAGTGCTCCCAAACCCCTTCCTGCCTCATTTTCCTCCATTTCCGGGTCACCACTGAACATACTACCCAATGATCCTGCCCCTCCCCCGCCAGGATTCTTGGTGCCGCATCCCCTGCATCTACAACACAGCCCGGCACATGGCAGGAGCTCAGTGCATCTTTGTGGAGTGAATTCCCCTGGGAGGTGATGGGCTGCTGCTCTAAGGGAGACAGCCACATCCTCTGTCCCCCTTCTGGCCCCTCCCTTGGTGTGAGCACTGGGAGGTGCACAGGTAGACAAGCCTGGGATCCAGTGTCCCTGCCAGGAGGTTCCAGGGCCACCCTCGGCCTGCCCACCTCAGCCTTGCCCAGCGTGCACAGCGTCTCCAGGATCTTGTGCTGCAGCAGGTACTCCAGGCAGGGCCCTGCCTCACCCACGGCCGCCTGCTGCCTCTCCTCGTACACCAGGATGTCCAGCATCTGCTTCAGCCGCCAGGGAATATCTGTTTTCTTGGCCGGGGTGTTTTCATCTAGGCGGGAGTCCGGAGACGAGTGTGAGCAGGCTGAGCCGGGGCATCCCGGCTTGACCACTGCACCCTCCTGCCAAAGCCCAGCAGTGAGAAGGCCTGTCAGGGAGGCAGGTGGAGGGGCTGAGGACAGCCAGGAAACAGAAGACTACGGCGGGTGCCTCTGTATTTAAAAACATGAATGTCCTTTGGGATGAGGCCTGGGACGCAGCCCTCTGAGAATGAGTGCACCCCCATCAGAGGGTGGCAGCCTCTGTCCCATACCCGGGACAGGGACACGTGGTTGTGGGCCCCGGGGTCTGTCGTGTCACTCAGGAGCCCTATCCAGCAGCTGCCTGGGAGGGAACACTTGGAGCCTGTGTAGGTCCCTCTTACACCCAGAAAAACAGGCACCACTCTGGTTTTTCACAAAGCAGAAAAAGAATCATTGAAAAGCAGAAAAAGAACCACCCCCAGTTCTGACCCAAACCTGCTCCCCTGTGCCCAGGCCCTGATAGGGAAGTGACCTTGTGGGGCTGTTGTAGTCAGTCCCCAGGTACAGTGTGTTTCTTAATCCAAGTGTTGGTACTTTGGGACTGGCCTTGGAGCACCCCCTAGCTTTTCTCTAAGGCATAGGTGCTTGAGCAAGGCGACCTATCTCCCCCATTTCCGACACCTCTGGTCTGGGGATCATTCTGGAAATTAAAGGATTAGATCCAGGTGAAGCCCCACGTGAATCTGAATCAGTTCTGGGATCTCGTCCCACTCTCCTGATAGACTGAAACTCTCTTTGAGAAATCTTTAGTGTAAACGGGTGATTCTCAACTGGGGGGGGGGCGATTTTGCCCCCCAGGGAACATTAGGCAATGTCTGGAAATATTTATGGTTGTCACAATTGAGGGAGGCGCTACTGGCACCTAGTGGGTAGAGGCCAGAACTGCTGCTAAACAGATCACACCACATATGATAGTCTCCCATGACAAAGATCCAGTCCCAACGTCAGCCATGCCAAGACTGAGAAACCTGCTGGAACAGAACTCTCAGAGGGTCCCTCAGAGTGTCCAAGGTCACTTTTTAATTTCTTGGACTGGCTCAAGCTGGAAATAAAGCCTTTAGGAAAGGGTAGGCTGGGAGCAAACCCCTGGACTCCCGGAAGTGGGAAGCCAGGGATGCAGGATACAGTTACCTGGCAACCAGCCTGTATCCACCAATGCTGGCACACTGCCTACAAAGCAGCCAATCAGATTCTGCCCCCTCAGCGAGCGTCCTCATGGGCCCAGATGACCCAAGGCTTTGGCTCTCTGGGGTGTCAGCTTGGGGAGAAGGACCCAGGCATGGTGCACACCCTGGGTATTGTTCTCTTCCTATCCCAGATCTCTACGAGGGAAATGCCCCTAAATTGGTTCAAGGGATAGGGGAATTTGTTAAAGTTTTCTTTTCATCAGTACACTCTAGGCACAAACATTTGGGGACTTAAGGCCTGGAGGCTGAAAGCTGGGGCAAGTAGAGCCACCTCTGTCTTGCTCAGTCAGGCCAGTGAGTCCCCCAATCTCCCGTGCCCATTCCTCCCTTACCCAGCCCCTCCCTCAAAAGGTCAGGGTGGGGCCAGCAACTCAGCGATTAGGAACAGAGGTGGCCAGGCCTCTAGGTCTTCCTCCCACCTATCTGATTCCCTGTCTCCATGAGCTCAACCCAACTCTGAACTCCTAGACAGTGAGTGTCACCTTCCCAGGAAACTACACCTTCCTCTCCAGCCCCTCCAGGGTCCCTGGGCTGGGGAGGACCTGGCCCCACCTGTGCTTTCGATGTAGTAATGTGTGATGCCTTTCCAGTGCTCCACGAAGGCCTGCAGCAGGTCAATGCTGGGCTCCCGCTGCGGAGAGAGCAGAGACACCACCTCAGTGGGGCTACAATGACCACGGAGCCCACTGCCACAGGTCCTTATGGGAATGGACATGCCACGTGTCTGCTAAGTGTCAGGTCAGTGCTACGCACCGGGGAGACACTGTGCTCCCTGGTTTTCAAAGGGTAGAGTTACACATGTTCCCCAGGAAGCATTGGCATGGTCCCCATGTCTCACGAAGGATCTCCCCGCACCTCTCCCTAGATACCCCTCCCTCCTGGAAATGCTATTTTCCTGCCACATGTCATTGTTATGATCCTGTCCCAGAGGAGCTAAGAATATTAGTGGGGGAAACAGACACAGAAACAGATCACTTCAATACAACATGGTTATGCCACAATCGAGGCACATACAGGAACACAGGAGAGCACCCCCAAAAGAATAACGCAAATGATACAGATCGAAAGCAGGGCAGGGATGCGGCTCTCTGGTCCCTCTCAATCTGAGAGTCTACAAAAACTGAGTTCAAGGCCACTACCAGTAACAGCATGACACTGTGCTGACAGCATGACAAGTGCTTTACTTGCAATGTGCTTTCACCTGGCGCCCGAGGCCCCGGGCTGCACAGCCTTCACTCCTACTTGGCCAGTGCTGCTTCTGCCACCTCCTCTGCTGGCTCCTTCTTATCAGCCTGGGCAACTCTGATTCTGGTCTGAGCAAACCCCTAACCTCCCTACTTTTCCTAAGTGCTCTGTCCACCTGCACACTGGCTGGACCTGGCCTTGAACTGAGAACAACCACTTGCCCTGAAACCTTATTTGAAGAAAAAAAGCCATGCCTTATCTTTCCTTGCAGAGTAAGTATTTGCAGGAGAAAAATGCCTGACCAAATCATCTCTACTCACAGGTGCCCATTTCTATTTCGAGGTCTTTGCTTGGGCCACTCTTCTTCCCAGGGGGCCCTGTAGCCCCCTAACTTGTCTAGATCTGGAGAGGTCTCAGTGTGGTCCAGCGAGGGGCCAGCCGATCTGGCAAGCCCTCTCCAGGGGTCTTGCTGGCCACACCCCTCTCTGACCCCACACTTCACTGCGCCACAGAGCTCAGCATCTACTCATTAGGTCACGCCTGTGGCGCCAGCTATGTGCAAGACACTGCGCTGGACGCTACAGAGGTGGGCCGTGGAGGAAAGGATATGAAACCGCACCACATGACTAAATGAACTCCAAGGAGATAGCGTGAGGCTGCAGGAGAGTGGAAAGTGACCTCTCAGAAAACGGGTCACCTTTAACAGGTTAGAACAGGGAAGACTTCACTGAAGTCACATTTCAACTAAAACTTGAAGAACTGGGTCAGATTTCAACAAGAGAAGGGAGACATTCCACTCCAGAAGGAACTCTGCAAAGTGTGTCTGGGGAAAGGACGGGCTGACGAGTTCTCGGGGCCTCCTATGACAAGCCAAGTCCCGACAGCTTTTTGCAGGGAGCAGGTCAGTGACACCTTCTGAGCAGTATTTTAGAAAAATTCATCTGGCAGTGGAGGGCAGGAGAGGAGACAAAGACAGAAGAATGCTTAGAAGGTCCTGGTAGCAGGGAGGAGTGGCTGCAGGCAATCTTGCCCTCTTTCAAAGTTAGTTATAAGGGCCAAGGCCCTTCCCAAAGTGGCACTGCCCACAGTCATTCCAAATATTCTATCCACTGTGGATTGACCACCTCTTATCACATTCCATGTGATACTGCTATTGTTGGGCTAAGCAGTAGCCTCTTCTGCTAGATTGTGAGCTCCCTGAGGGTGCGTGGTGGAGGTGGAGCGGTGGTGTCTGTGTTTTATATCTCTGCCTGCACGTTCTGAATACTCATTAAGATTCACCAACTATCTCAACAAACTCCTGAAGACATGCTTTCCATAGATCCTTGTCTTGGAAAGCCCTCTGACCCTTGGCCAGCAGGGCACTTACCTTGCAACTTCTGTGATGGGGTCTTATCTAGCCTTGAAATTGGTTTATAGTCTCCAAATACCTTGAGCTGGGCTTTAACCAAAAAGAATGCTCCAGTAAGACCAGGAGACACAGGAGAAAGGCAGGTTGGCCGGCACAGGCTGTTTGAGAGCTGATTTCATAAGGGACTAATCTTTACCTTACTCTATGCCCAGCTCCTGTAACTGCAAATAAGAGAAATTGTACCAAACAATTTCTCTTTAAAGATAGTATGATTTCTTAAAAGAAGTGCCAGGATTCCTAGTCTGTTTGGACAGAAGAGAGCAGAAAGGCACACTCTTCCTCCCTAATGAGGAGCCAGTGGACTTGCTGGAGTCACAATTTTACTTGCTGGCCCAGCCTGGGAAAAGATCCAGAACCGAGACCTGGGGGTAGCAGAAAAGAGGGATGCCATCTCCCTGATCACACAGGGCCAGCCACACTTCCAGGACATGGTCTACGTGCTGTTTACTGAGGGACCCAAGACCACCTGCCTAAAAAAATTTCTCTCTACTGCCAACATCTCCTCCTGCATGGACTTCCTGCATTGGAAGCATCAGAAATTCACTCTTCTTTGAGAAGAATTCTTTGAGGAATTATTTGCCCGTCCCTAAATGAAGCATTCCTCAGAGGTATGAATTAGTTTATCAGATCACAGTCTGGGGACAGAGAAGAGGGGAAGGAGAGATCATTTTGGAACCCCTCCCTGCCTGGATGCTCCAAGGCCCTGGCCCAGGGCTGGGGAAGAGCAGGGCTGGGGGAAAGTGAAGAGGTGGAGGGGGTAGTTTTTACTTTCTTCACAAGTTTGCTTAAGGCTGAGTCTGTTCGTTGTCATAATGAACTCTGATTTGGGCATGGGGTGGGGTGAAACCCCAGGTTGTTCCTGCTGAGAAAATCTGATACACTCAACTCATCAATTAGGAGGCGGGTGTATACCATGACACAAAAGAATTAACTTTGCAGACAGGTTCTTGTCTGGGATGCTTTAAACAGAGGCCATACCCCCCACCCTACCTAAACTGCACTTTTACCCCCTGAATGAAATGGGCTGCCTCGGACCACAGCCCTCAGCCCCACCTGAAAACAGCGAAAACACAAACTCTGATGGAATATGAAAAATCAATACACGCTTCCCGACACAGCCACCCAGGCCCCGCCACGGGCTGGCCTCTCCCTGCCTCCAGGTCAGTTTGGCTCTGAGAGTGAGATACCAGCTGGACACTCATTTGCACCCAGTGGGAGGCTATCTCCTCCGGCTAGACGCCCACCCACCCGTGCCCCGGGCCTTCCCCCTTCTCCGGACGGGACCTGTCGGGACCGGACGCGAGCGGGAGGGCGCCCTGCACCGAGCAAGGCTCGGGGCTGTCTAGGAGCTCAGAACCAGGGGAAGGGGCAGCTGTTTTTAAGCCCAGGTGACGAGGAAGGGAGGAGCGAGGGGAAGGAGGGAGCTACCAGAGGCTGGGGGAGGGGGCGAGGAGGAAACTATTGGGTGACAAGGGAGCGCTCTGGCAGAGAAGAGTTCGGGAACCCGGTGCGACTCTGGCGCGCAGGAACCACAAACCGGAAGCCACCTGGGCAGCGGGCTCCGGGAAGGGGGGACGGCCTAGAGGGATCTGGGGGTGCAGCGGGAGGAAGCGAGGTGTGCTGCGCCAGAGGGGCGCGGCCAGGCGCGCGAGGCCCGGGAAAGGGGCGCTGCGGCCCGGGGTCCCCTGCCCGAGGGCGCCCGCCCGCCCGTGGCTGCCCGGCTCCGCGCCCGCCCCTCCGGCCTAGCCCGCGCGGCGCCCGCCCGGCCTGCCGGGCCTGCCCCGCCTCACCGCCCCCACGGCCTCCTGCAGCAGCGCCCCGAGCCGGCTCAGCATGATGGCGGCGCGGCCCCGCTCCCGGGCGGCGGCGGCGGCGCTCTCGCTGGAGTAGGGCCGCGGCCGCGGGCGCGGCAGGGAGGCGGGGCGGTTTCGCCCGCCCCGGCCTGTCGCCCCGCCCCCTGACCGTCCGCACCGCCCTCTGACCGGTAGCCGCCCCGACCGTCCGCACCGCCCTCTGACTGGTCGCCCCGCCCTGGCCGTCCGCACAGCCCTCTGACCGGTGCCCCGCCCCGACCTGTCGCCCGCCCTTTGACGGTCGCCCGCCCAACGTCCGCACCGCCCTCTGACCGGTCGCCCCGCCCTCTGACCGGCCGCCCCGCCCCCCACCGTCCGCACCGCCCTCTGACCGGTCGCCCCGCCCCCGGCCTGCCGCCCCGCCCTCTGACCGGTCGCCCCGCCCCCGGCCTGCCGCCCCGCCCTCTGACCGGTCGCCCCGCCCTTTGACCAGTCGCCCCGCCCCCGGCCGGCCGCCCCGCCCCCTGGTCGCTGGGCCCGCGTTGGGCTCTGCCGGGTCGGGGAAGGGGCAGCGGGAAATGTCCTGGACTGAGAAGAGCGCGGCGGGGAGCGGGTCCGGTCCCGAGTCCAGTCCCGCTGGGACACCCTGCGGATCCTGGGGCCGCGAGCGCAAGGCCTGAGAGTGGGCCGGGAGAAAGTCGAGGGGAATTAGAATTCCCCCTGAATGGAGTTTCGTGGGCTCTGTAGGTCTCGGCGCCCCACCTGTCCGGCGCGGTGGTCCCCGGCCGCGTGGCTCTGAGCTCCTGGAATGTGCTGGTCCCCACCGACCTGTGCAGTGCCAGGTGCACCGCGGATTTGGAAGACAGTGTAAGGAAAGGAAGAATGTTAAGTAACTCACTAACCATATTTTATATTAATTACACGTGGAAATATTTTTCGGTGTATTGGGTTAAAGTGTGTTGTTAAAATTAATTTCAGTGGCTGCTTTTTACCTTTTGTAAGTGGCTACCCGAAATCGTGAAACTGCACATGTGGCTCCATTGTGTTCCACGGCAACGCGCGCCGCTCCAGAGGAACCCGCAAGGAGCCCACTTTGACACTTCCAGCCACATCAAGGAAAGAAGCAGAAGGCGGGTCTCCATGTAGAGGCACACCCTGAGAAATTATGCCTTGGCAGAGCCTGCGACAAGAGCAGTGCTCCCTGGAATGTGCAAAGCCAGGGATGGAGGGGTGGGCCTTGTAGCTGCCACCACCACCTGCACCCCCAGGAGTAGAAAGAGATCCTCCCAGGGCTGAGGATGGTTCTCCAAAATGTGTTTCTGCTAATCACTGGTGTCTCACGGCGGGAGGACAAGGAATCAAAGGCCCACTAGGGAAGCAGAAGTAGCTCCCTGCACAGAATTACAAGCTGTTAGGCCACAATGTCTGAGAATAAAGGAAAGAAAAAAGCCTGACTTGTGTATCAGGAAGCACCTTAGAGCAGCAACCTAGAGTTGAGAGGTCAAGTTCCCGTCCACACGCTGTACTTTTTCCCAGCCTGGCTCCTCACAGGTGAGGCAGCAGGCTGCATGGACAGAATCAGCTTTTTCCCCTCATCATGTCCCAAGGAACTCTAGGGGATAATGAAAGTGCACCAGGAGTTTGTGGCATTTTATTTGACTTAATTTTTCAAATGTTATTTTAAAAACTCTCATAAAAGTCAATGTACATACCATATGTGTTCTATGCCCAAAGCGTTAGAGACCACTGATATACTATTAAATTCTGCTGCCAGGTTAGTCCATTTGGGGGAAGACCTTTAAATTCTCCTATCAGGTTAAATGAAGAATTGAAGACTATTTCAGGGTAAGATGTTTTAAATGAGCAAGGCACTAAGTCCAGATTCAAGGAGAGGGCTGTCGTCACTGCCCTCCAATGTGACTGAATTCCATCACTTTTTAAACCACCACAATTGTGTCACTACCTATCTGAAGCAGGATTTCCCCAATACTGCAACTCAATACAATAATAAATTAGCTCCTGCATTTGATAAAAGTGCGACTGTCATCTATAACCTCCGACTTAACATTTTAAATTTGTCAAACAGCTTCCTTGTTCCCATTGAATGATTTCATAATAAACTGTAAAATTCAACTTATAAATGCATTCTAATGACTAATTAAGTTTAATTTTCTTAAAAAAAGGTTTGCTACTAAAAAGGTTTGAAAGCGACGGTGCTAAATAATCTCCCAGGTTTTGCATCTGTGTGTGTCATGAGGCCAAGGTACTGTGAGACTCTCCGTAAGGCTTTGTTTTAGGAACAGAGAGCTCTACTCTGAGCCACTCGAAATTTTCAGGAACTTAAAATCCTTTAGGACTTAGCATCCAATCTGCTCCCACCACACACATTTCCCATTTAGCTGATCAAATACCACCTTCAGCACCCCTTGGTACTCAATGACCTTGACATTTTCCCCAACAGCCTGGAAGGTCGATGAAGACAAGGGGCATGCTGGCCTTGTCACCACTGTGTCCCCAATTCGCAGGACAGGGTAACCCTGTAAACATTCACTGAATGCCTACTGTCAGGTACATGTGTGGAGACCACTCTTCTCTCTCTGCACCTCCATGTCCGCCCTCCTCTGCTTCCCCTCCAGAGACAACTGTACCTATCGAGAAGGCCCCGGAAACCTGAGTGTCTGTCTCCATTCTCCATGGGTTAGGTGCCTGTAATTCTGGCCTTCAGATGAAATGTCTCTATTCCACAATTTTCTCATTGCTCTGTTAGAGGCAAGGACCCTCAAAGACCCTCAACTCCCCTATGACTCGTCCTATGCACGGACTTCGCCCTGGAAAATTCCAGCTATAGCTCCGAGAAAAATGCATTCCATGACGTGCTGACCACGGGATGCTCCAGGGAGTGCTGGCTGCAATTGTTCCCGACCACCTGCCAGGTTGGAGTTGAGTAAGCAGTCAAAAACAGGATACTGATAAGACGCTGATTGGGGTTGATTAACCCAGACCCAAGCCTCATCGTCGCCCCACTCTATTTTTTTGTTTCTACTTCCTTGTTTCTGTATGCTTATAAACCTACTAAGATCTAAGTAAGCAGACCTTGACAACCATTTGCTTGGTCTCGTTCCTTTCTCTCGCCCACTCTTTCAGGCAAGGTCCCCTTGACCCCCGAGAGTAACAGAGGTCCCTCGGGTCGGGACAGAGTGGGCCCAACGTGGGCTCGAGGTACGGGCCTTGTCGGATGGACGCCACCAGATCTCGGCGAGAAACCTTAGAGAGACCCATTCTGCTGCTCACAGAATCCACGGTCTGGGAGTAGATTTTTTACATTGTCATCCCTTGAGAATTGGGCCATTCATTGGTCTAAAGAGGCCGTTTATCAAGGATCTCAAGGCCCCACTAGAGAGAGAAGGAATTAGAGTTAAGAAAAAGGATCTAGTAAGTTTTTGTGTTCACTTGATCCGTGCTTGTCCTGGTTTTATTGTTAGTGGACCTGAGATTCACCCCACGCAAAGGCAGAGGGTAGGCAGAGATTTAACAATTTACTCTGAATCAAGGCCCAGATGCGTCCTGTATATGGTTTTCTCGTACTGGGGGACTAATCAGAGATATTGTGGGAGGCAGATTCAGACCCAATAAAAAGCAGCTGCTCTCAGTAGCAGAATTCTGCTCCGACCGTATCACAGTCCGCTTCGAGAACGTTCCGTTAGGAGCGCGGCCAAAGAGGTCGTCCCCTTAATTCTGAGAGACCAATATGCCCTTCTCCTTGCCCTCTCAGTTTGTATTAATATTTTTGTGGCCCCTCAGGACCCTCGGGCTGAGCTCCAGACATCTAGGGGACGAGCCCCCATAGTAAGCCAGGAACCAAACCCTTCTACCTCCTTGCCTGAGGGTAGGCTCTCATGCATTCCAATTACCAGGTATTCAAACCCCCCCAGTCCCTCGACCCGCAGGAGAAGGCACCCTTTAGAAAGAGGGGAAGCGGCCAGATTCCACCCGAATGGGCCTCCTCCATTACCCGCCCAAGATCAGATAATGAGATACAGAAGAGAGAGAAAGGGAAATGAAGTGATCGACCCCAGGAGGAGGCCAGTCCCGGGCCACTGCAGAACCACTGAGTTCGCGACTAAACTAAGATTTAAAACGAATTATTTTGCTGTGGACGTTATGGGCAATGCACCTTTACTAATCCCTCCTGGAGGCAGCCTCGGGGGGGCGGCTACCTGCTCCGGAATGGTCAAGCTAGTCACCAGGGCAGCTTTCTGCGGCAGTTATCTCTTTGGAACGCCGACCTTTTCTGACCGCTGTCAGAACCACGGCATGCTCATAATTTAAAAAACCCAAATTTGCTCTTGGACCCTGATAAGCTTAGCGGACAGGGGAGTTTGCTACTGACAGCGCAAAGGGGACTCCCGATTTGGACTTTTGTCCCAGACGGATCCGCAAGCCAACCTTCGGCGCTTGAGGAACACTTCCCTTACGGAGACTGTTTACTCCCTGACAACAATCACAGGGAGCTCAAGAGGGTTTTACGTGAATTTTGTGGGCTAGGCTTTCGAGTCTGCTGTAACGAACCTTGGACACGAAGATGAGAAATTAAGTAGGCTTATTAAACAATTAGCTATGAAAATGCCAAACCAAAGCACTTGCAGGGCATCCTTCAGGGGGCAAACTCAAAAAACAAATGTTCTTAATGACATGATTAGAAATGTGTAATGTTTGAACCTTCGGCCTCATAACGGTGTCGGCAGGCCGTGCAGCTGTGCGGTTGGCCGCATTCCAAGGGGAACGCAGGCACAGAGGACTGCTTTAAATCTGTCGGTCAGGCCAGCGGCACTATTGGAGAACAGTGTTCCCTTAGTAGGGCTCCTCTGTACTGCCTAACCTCAGTGGACCACAGGAGGCCAACTTTCGGCCCCCCTCCCCCCGCCCCCACCTCCCCCCCCCCCGTCCTCGCATGCAAGAGGGGATACCAATTGGTTGTGAGTGCTGCTCTAAAGACCTAAGACGAGGCCCTTGGAAACCTTGCCCCGCTTTCGGAAAGGCGGCCTGAGGGACAGCCGGGCCTCGCATAGTTCAATTCAGTTGGCTCGGACGAACCGCGACAAGAATCCAGCCCCTAGACTCCTTTGAGACCACAGGGGAGCGAGGACGTGGAACTTGTGTGCTTCCTCTGACACATATTAAGACCTGAGGATGGTGTTCAAATTTTGCAGCCTACTGGCTCCTTTGGACCCCCCGCCCCCCCGGCTAACATGTTCTTTTTTATTTCTGGCGAGCCTCCTCTACTCTTGCAGGCTCATAGTCACCCGGTCCATAGTAGATAGTGACTTACGGGGGAGAGTAAATCTTAGCCAGAGGCGCTTACGGCCCTGTGTTGTGTCTCTAAGAAGCGCTTAAGCTCAAGCGTGCCTTGCCCTAATACATCTTCCCGCATCGCCTCTAACCGGAGGGCTTCCTGCCCTGGCTCTCTGATCCGTCTATTGATCCCAAGCTATCACCAAGGAACGGCCCACCCTGCGGCTAAATTAGTGAACTTTTTTTTTTTTTTTTTGGAGACAGAGTCCGTTTCCTTGCCCAGGTAGATGATGTGCCTGTGGCTCATCCTGCTCACAGCACCTCAAAATTCCTGGGTCAGCGATCCTTCTGCTCAGCTCCGAGTAGTGGGACTACAGGCACGAAGCCCACATGCCGGCTGATTATTTATATTTATTTTATATTAGTGGAATTTAATTTCTTTTATTTTTTATGGTAAGACGGTCGTCGTCGGCTGGTTTGAATCCTGACTTGGAGCAATCGCGCCTCGGCTCCGAGAGTGCTGGATTACAGGCGTGAGCACCGCGCGGCCTAGATGGTAACTTTTGAAGGCTTCTTGATTGCCCAAGGCCAGGTTATTGCCAGACGCCTGGCCGATTCATGGCCACTGCATCCTTTCCTTACGACTTGCAAGTGTATAAGGACAGTCTAGAGGATACTTTCAGAGCTCAAAAATTTTTTGACATGGGAAGGATCTTGGGAGGAAACAGAGGTACCACTCAACTTTGTAGTCCAACTACCATTAACTTATCGGGGGCGTGATATCCTTGCACAGAATGAATGTTCATTTGTTGCCGCCAATGAATTTAGCCAGCCAAATGCTTAAACAGGGATCTCCAGACAGGGTTAGGCAAAGAGGTCAGGGACTAAAGGGCACCCTTAACACCTCCTACCTAAGGTCAGACGATCAGGACTGTGAGCAACCCATTTTTGGTAAGGGATTTCCGCATCACAGATAAATCACTTGGAAGAGTGGACTCACCTGTCTGTGATCGATCAGTGGCTCATTCTAAACTAGCCGCAGCTACAAGCGTTGGGTGCAAGGAACAATTAGCTGCGACACATAGATGCCTCTACTTCACCATGGAACACCGCCATTTTCGTCATTCAAAAAGGACTGGCAAGTGGCGGGCTGTACAAGACTTACGGGCTGTTAACCAAACAAGGTTCAGGGGGGCACTCAGCCTGGTTTGCCTTTGCCAGTAGCTATCCCCACAAGGCTACTATAAGTTGTCATTGACTAAAAGATTGTTTTTCTCCATACCATTGCACCGATGTTGCAAAACGCTTCGCTTTCAGTCTCCCGGTATAAAACTGTATAGGGACCCTCCACCGCGCTTCCAATGGCGAGTATGCTCAAGGCATGGCAACAGCCACCCTTTGCCGAGAAAATATGTAGCTCAGACATGGATTCTTTAGAATTCAACTCTCAGCTATATATACTTCGAGTTATGAGGGACTGACATTCATTTTTGCCGGAGCCGAGGAGGCGACCTTACTTCAAGTTACCATGCAGGTTGTCTCAGCCTTACAAGCTCGAGGCCTCCGCCTGTCCCCTGAAAAAATTCAGGTCTGCCCCCCTCCTCTGTAGAACTAATTCTCACCTTAGTCAACGCCTCTATCAGGACCCTCGGAGAGGCCAACAATTCAGAATATCAGGAGTGTTGGGTATGCTACTCCCCCCGCCTCCCTTCTATGAGGGTGTCGCTACATTTGGTAAACTATTATTTACTAACGACACCAGCAAACTCAGATGGGGCCTGGAGACCCATGATGGCCTGACACTCAGCCAAGTCACAGGCCTAGGCCTTTGCCTTCTTAGCCCAAGAATGCTCCCTCCCGCACCCTTAGAAAAAATTATGCAATCAGTCAATTACTGTCAACTCCACTTTTCAGTATATTCAGGCACCTAACACCTCTTATTTTGCTTGTTCTTCCAGTCTTACCCCGTATGTAGTCACTGCAACGTTTCTTGAGCATAGAGAATATTGTGTGTTAGTCATGCTTTTCCCCAGACTCACTGTACATCCTGCTGACGAATTGCTCAGATTTTGGGAGCGAGGCACCACAATGCCCCGAGAAAAGAGAGAGCCCATCACGGCCATAACACTCACAGTTGAGTTGTTCTAGGCCTTGGTGCCACAGGGGCTGGAACAGGCATAGCCTCTCTAGTCACCTCCAACCAGCAATACCTGCAGCTCTCTGCTGCCATCGATAACGATCTCCGAGAGCTACAGCAGGGCCTAAAATATCTCAAAGAATCCCCCGCTTCGCTTTCTGAGGTAGTGTTGCAAAATAGAAGAGGTCTAGACTTAGTGTTCCTCCAAGAGGGAGGTTTGTGCGCAGCACTTAAAGAGGAATGTTGCTTCTACGCTGACAAAACAGGTCTGGTAGAAGATAGCATTGAGAGAGTTAGACAGAGCCTAGAAGATAGAAAAAAACGGAGAGAACAAAGTGAGGCATGGTATCAAAATTGGTTTTCTACATCCCCCTGGCTATCCACATCGCTTCCCAGTGTCTTAGGGCCGCTTGTAGGCTTTCTGTTGCTCCTCACCTTTGGGCCTTGGGCTTTCAAAAAACTAACTGATTTTGTCAAGTCACAGGTAGACGCAGCCACACAAAAATTGGTCTCCGTGTTTTACCAACGGCTAGAACAAAGAGGCTCCAGAGAAGACCTCCGTGGAGAGTCTCCCAACACACCCACTGAAGGTCTAAATTTCTCAGACCTTGCCTCAGACATGGAATGCAGTTGGTTCCAAAGGCTGTGGAGACGCCCATGACGGGATTATCGCGATGCCGTGTACCAGATGGACACCCCGCCAGCAGTGAGGTAACTCCATGACGGGAATATTGTAGGTCCATGCCCGGGGGCACACTTCATAATCAGAAGTGCCGGAGCAGGATGCCACCTACATAGCCTAAGACAGAGACCTCACCTTCACATTAATCGCCAGATCTTATATTTGGGGTGCTGGTCACGGAAGCACATCGAGTAGCCTAAGACAGGCTCTCCACCCACCTATATAAATCTCCCTCATATTAATAAAGAGAGGGGGAGATGTTAGAGGCAAGGACCCTCAAAGACCCTCAACTCCCCTATGACTCGTCCTACGCGCGGACTTCGCCCTGGAAAATTCCAGCTATAGCTCCGAGAAAAATGCATTCCATGACGTGCTGACCACGGGATGCTCCAGGGAGTGCTGGCTGCAATTGTTCCCGACCACCTGCCAGGTTGGAGTTGAGTAAGCAGTCAAAAACAGGATACTGATAAGACGCTGATTGGGGTTGATTAACCCAGACCCAAGCCTCATCTTCGCCCCACTCTATTTTTTTGTTTCTACTTCCTTGTTTCTGTATGCTTATAAAACCTACTAAGAATCTAAGTAAAGCAGACCTTGACAACCATTTGCTTGGTCTCGTTCCTTTCTCTCGCCCATCTCTTTCAGGCAAGGTCCCCCTTGATCCCCGCGAGTAATAGAAGGTCCCACGGGTCGGGACACTGCTCCAAGGATTAAAATGGTCTGTCTTGTTGACCCTACAGGTTTGCTTGTTGAAAACAATGCCATGAATGCAACAGAACCCCTACAAATTTAAAACAATCATTCACATTTTAGGGATTCTTATCCACTTTGCTTTTATTTCAGCCAAAGTGGCTAGAAACTCATGTAGGGGGCTTGGGTTGGGCCCTAGCTCCAGGCTACAGTTTTCAGCTTGGGTACCCATCCAACTCACCTGGTCCCTCTGCCCCTGCACCTCTTCGTGTGCCCACACAGGGTTCTGAGTCAGCCAGGTAGGGCCAGCCCCTGCCCCCATAAGCACCCATACTGCAGCCCTCCCTCCTTCTGGTCTTTCAATCAAATCTGTACCCCCTCACCACCACCCCATATACAGTTCCATGTCTGTTCCCCTCCGGAGCCCTTGCCAAGTCAACCAAGACCAAATTGCAGCCCCTCTTCCTGCACTTGACCCTTGCCCTCTGCATATGCATGTGCTGTTGACCTCTGCTGTGTGTTTGGCCTCCCCATCTATCCAGGAGCACCCTGGGCCCTGGGGTGCAGTCATGTCAGATGTTGAAGAATCTGACCACCAAGGTGATCATTTAGGAGGTAGGGGGTTTCTGCCCCCCTGCTGCCCCATCACAGAGCCCCTGAAGGGGAGGAGGCAGGTGGGACCCGGCCTAGACCAGCCCCTGCTTCTGTGGCTTGGGTTGGGGGAAGAGGAACATGTGTGCTCTCTCTCCACCCCTCCAACTCTCATGTGCCCCATCTGAACCCTCATTCTCTGCCCCCGCCCCACCCCAGACATCACCTGTCCTTCTTGCCCAGGTGTGGTGGCTCAGAAAGGACAAACAGATTTAGGGACCCAATGCAACCTTTTAATTCCAAGCAGAGTCCCCCTCCCCCAGCATTATCACACACACAGTGGAAAGGGATGCCAGGGTCTGGGCGGGAACAAAACCCGGACCTGGGCAAAAATATAGATATAATTATATACACGTGTACTTGGAGAGAAGTAGAGCTGGGAGTGTGACTAAGGTAGGGCAGAGAGTTAGGTGAGGAAAGCAGCTGGGGGGGCCCCAATAAATACATTCTTTAGAGAGCATAGTGGGGGGTGCATGGGTACGAGTGGGAGCTGGTAGCCAGGACACTCAGGAACGTGCCACGCCTGGCCTCTGGACCCCATCCAAGGGAGGCTGAAGGCCTGGCTTCTGCCCGGTACCTGGCGTGCACTAGAAGGTGGGATTCCTGCTGACGTGGCCTGGAGGCGGCGGTGGGCTGGGGCTGTGTACACGCGGCATCCCCCTCTAAGCCAAGGCTTCTGGGGAAGCCACGGGGCTGGAGCAAGAGGCTTCAAAGCTCTGGGTTGCGAGCAGAGGGCAGGGCAGCCTCCCTGCTGGAGGCCAGCTGGAGGCTGCTCCCTCCAGAGTCAGAGAAGCAGGAAGCCCAGGTGCAGGGAAGCTGACAGGAGGGAGTGGGGGAAGCTGGGTGGGCTCACACAGGGGCCTGGAGTTCTCCTGCCTGGCCGCTTCCACCCACTGCGCAAGATGGCGCCGGGCCTGACCACCAATGCCCCTTCATTTCTCCTCACCCTCTGCTGGGGACCTTCATGTGGGGGTGAGGGGCAGGGAGAGGCGCAAACGTGAACTCTGCGTGTGCTGGAGCCCCGCCTGGGTTTGCCCTGTGCTGGGAGGACCAGGGAGAGAGGAGGCGGCCGCCTGGCTACTCGTGGCCGGGAAAGTCCGGGCCCAGCGGCCAGGCCCACAGGGGCCCCTCCGCCTCCTGGTTCACCAGGGGAAGAGGATGCTGTGGGGTCTTGTGACCCCAGCTCCAGTGTCCCAAGCAGCAGGGGTGAGGGGTCGGTCACGGAAGGGCCATCAGAAGAGAGAGGCCTTCTTCTTGAGCTCGTTCCGCTTCCACAGAGCCAGCTTGCCGAACTCTTCGGGAGACATGGCGAACACCCGCGAGAAGTCCTCGGCGGATAGGTGCCTCTGTAGGGGGCACAGAGGGCGGCTCAGGAAAGGGAGCCGCGGGCTGGGGGCTGTGCCGAGTGACCCAGGGGACTCAGACAAAGAGGCCCCAGGTCTTCCCCACCAGGCAGGAGTGTTTGCCCTGCTGACACCCTGCACCCGCCAGGTGCCTTTTCCCCACATACCTCCAGCCTCATCCGGTCCACACCTGGAGGCAACTTGGTGCGCCCCTTGTTGGTCACCACCAGCATCTCATAGGGATATATCTGGGGGCGAGGGCAGGAGGCAATCTTAGGCTCATGGGGTTTCCTGTGAGCCCCCTCAAGTCCCCAGGCCCCCATCAACCTGCAGGGGCCAGTGGGGTTCATGCCATTCTGCCCTCTGTCACCCACCCCAGCTTCCCTGCTGTCCCTCCCATCTTCAAGGCCAGGAGGACCCCACAGTGCATTCAGCTTGCCTGGCGTCCCCAGCCGCCCGCCCGCTGCAGTGCTCGGGTCCCTGCCCCTCACCTTCTGCTCCAGCACACAGGGCAGGGAGTTCCCCCGGTCCATCCTCCCCCTCTGGCCCTCTCCGTTCTGGGGAGACCAAAGCCGCAGTGAGCCAGAGCGGGGCGGGGAGACCTTCCCAGCCTTACCCTGGCGTCTCACGGTGTCACCAGGCAACTCCGAGGCCCCACCCCCGTCCCCCACATGTCCAGTCGCCTGGCCCGGCTTCTGGCGTCCACCTGTTCCCCTCCGGGAGGTGCTCACCTGCAGGCCTGCGGGAGGGAAGGGTCACCATTCAGAGGGGGCTCTGAGGCCAGCTGCTGCCTGACCTGGTCAGACCCTTGCCCACAACCCAGACACATGCCACTCAGGGGCCTGCACAAGCCCCTCCCTCCGCTCCCCAGCAGCCGGTCCCACTTCTCACCTGGGCTTCCAGTCTCACTCCCTGACGGGCTGAACTCTGTGGACTGTAGCTACAAAGGACACAAAGGAGTCAGAGGAAGCTGGGGACATTCCTCATCGGTCCCCTTCACTTTGAAGGTGTCCCCGCTCCTGAGGACACAGTGGCTCAGTCTCCCAGAAGTACCCCACATGCACGCCCCTCCCACATAGTCTGCATCTCGGGTTCTGAGACCTTACCCGGCTCAGGGTGGTCCTGCCATAGGCGGGCAGAGAGGAAGACTTGGAGGTTCCCGCGTGCAATGCTGCAAGAGAGCAAGGGGTCCTGCGTTCAGTCCTGGTGGCCCTGACAGTCCTTCCTGTGAGGGCTCCCCTGCTGGCCTTCCCCTGCCGGACAGCCAGTGAAGAATGAGCTGGGCAGGCTGGGGGACTTCTGGCCACCAGCTCCTACTGGGACCTCCAGCCAGTGACACTGGTGACTCTGAACTGTCTTTACCCCTTCCCTCTTCTAACTAGAAGTGACACTGGTGACTCAGAACTGTCTCTACTGCCTTCCCTCTTCTTTCTAACTAGAAGTGGCCCGAGTGCACGGTTGAGTGTGAAAATCGCCAGCCAGCCAACACCGAGGTTCGCTGTCACAGAATGAACTCTGGGATATCCAACTAAATCTAAAACCGAATCAAAATAATTGAGTTATTACAATTTCATTAACAACCTTAGTAATCAAATTCCAAACATCTGGCATTCTACTATGAAAACTGTCATTTTCTCAGGGCTGTCGGCTGCTGGCTGGGACCAGCCGTCAACACCTCCTGTCAGCATCGCTGGGTGTCACTGTCAACTTGCACATGTCATAGGATCTCTCCACGTTCAGGCACCGCAGGTTCTAACTCAAGAAAATGTGTTTTCAGTAACTTGTTTCCCTAGAAAGAACTTTGTACCTAAGAATCTTAGCTTGAACAAGATTCTTTCACCAAAGAAAGAGTTTCACCAAAACTCTTTCATCTCCAATTACTAAAAATGGTTGGCGTTCTCTAGCAATTGCCTTCACAAGAATTTTGCTTAAATATTTAGCATCCGTTAGATTCAAAACTACAAGGAAATATATTCTTAAAACATTTCTTATAAAATCTGTTGCTTGGAAGTTCGATTGGTGAGAACAAAATGGGTTTGGGGAACCTCATTTTGACCCCCTAACACTTTTGCTTTCTTGTATAGAAAAGTATCAGCTTTCACAATCACCATTCATTATTGAAACATTTCACTCTTGCAATAAATAATATGTATCTATTTAATGTCAACTGACTGATGGAATTTCAACCTTCACAGTACATATGAAGATTTTTTTCACTCCCAGTTACTGTTAGCATGCTTACATATGTTTGAAAGTGACTATTCCAAAAAAAAAAAAAAAGACAAAAAAAAAGTGACTATTCCAATGTTACCATTAAATCAGAATGACATGCCTATTCATAATTCTGAAAGGAAGGTTGATTTGGCATGACAATGGCCTACCCGATCATGTGATCATTGTGCGTGAGTTCAGGGAAACCAAAAATGATGTTGAGGTAGGCATTTGGCTATGCAACGTCGCAAGGCCAAAATGGAAGTTAAAGAGCTAATTTTGACTGAATAGAAGATTCTGGCGGAACATTAAGACCGAATCCAACCTTGGGGCACCTGTCTATATCTCATTCTTCAGGCCTTATTGCATTTTTCCACTTTCTCTAAAAAACCTTTTGCGCCTCTTCCCACCCACACTGAAACAGCATCCTGGGAGCGCTGGGTGATGCCGTGGACGTCCTAGCCACATGTCAGCCTCGAGGTTCCTTGAATTCCCCTGTGCCAGGGGTCTTCCCCTCCGTTCCGCATCAGACAACCCTTTCAAAGGGCCACACCCTGGCTCTTGTCGTCAGCCACAGCAGCTCCACCTGGGAACTGTGAGCCCGACACCCCCATTTGTAGCCTCACCCCACCACCCCAGCTCATCCATCTCCTGTAGAGCTGCGGTCTCTTGATGCCCACCCTGGCCCCGCCCGGCCTCGTGTCCTACCTACTGAGCTTCAACCCTGTGGCTGGGGACAGTCACTGGTTTCACCTCTGTGGTACAGCCCCTTGGGCACCTTCCTTACAAAAGTCAAAACCCAGGTCAACCCAGCAGCCCCTTTCTGCTCACAGGCTGCGGACATAAAGTCCACACCATGGAGCTCAGCATCACTGCCAAGACCAAGGCTCGTACATTTTCCCATCCGCACAGTAGCAGTTCCGAAGCTTCCAGCCTCAGCAGGTCTCCCCCCCCGACCCTCAGCAGATGACCTCGACTTCCGATCTGGCCTGCTCCGGGATCGGCGTCCCCAGCCCCCAGACCAGCCTCCCACATTCCCAGGCTCAGAGGCTCCGTGTCAGCCAACCCGCTACCTGCACCCTTAATGGATACGTCCTCCAGGGCTGCCCTTCCCTTCTCTCTCCATACACTCTCACTTTCTCCTCCCCCTCTCACTGCCACATACAAGCTCTGGACTCCGCCAAATGCACCTCCACTTGCACGCTCCAGGTGGGGCCCTTCAAATCCAACTCCTCTGAAACCACCTCCATCTTTCTCTGAAACCTGCTGCTCTTAGCATCTCAGCTCCACGCTGGTCATCGCCTGGCACCTAAGAACCCCAACCTTTCTCTCCCCCACGCCCCATGTTCAATGGCTTCGACCACCCATATATTTCTCAAACCCACGCCCTTCTCTCTGGGCCCATGTCTGTTTTCAGCCCTTTCCTAGACTACTGGAGAGCGTGGTAGACTGTTCCCAAAGATGGCGTTCACCATTCACTCCCACCCCGCACGCTTTCTGCAATGAGACTGTGCGGTTTCTCGCATCAAGGAGTAGAGTCCACATCCCTCCCCTAGAGTCTAGGCTGCCCAGTGCCTGGCTCTGAGCGATAGAATGCAGAAGTGACGCCATGTGGCTTCTGACCCTGGGTTCTCAGACCTCTCCCTCTCCTCTCCAGCCACCATGCTTTAAGGAAGTCCAGGCCAGAGCAGTGGGTGACCAGAGGTGTGGCATTTGAAGCTCTGGCCCCCATCTCTCTGGTCGCGCTGCCTGCCACCCAAAGGTGCATGCCATGCTCTGTGATTCCAGGCTCCTGGAGGTCCTCTAAGCCGGCTGGATGTTTCCAGTTCTCTGCCTTTGCCCCCACACTGTTCCTGATGTCTGCAATGACCTTCTCTCCCCTCACTTTGTCTGGTTCACTTGGCCTCACTCCCCGATGGGCTGAAGTCTGTGTTGCCGTGCTCCCAAAGTACCCCGGCATGCCCCATCACACCTGCTACAACAGCACGTGGAAACCTCGGGATTCACATGGGTTTTCCCCACTGACCACAGGCCATTGGAGGACGGGACTAGATCTTTTCACTCTTTCTACCCCCAGTGCACATGGTAGACACTCGATAAGTGTTGTTAAACCGAATTTGCTAACTCTACTCAGTTGGCACTAGCTTTTGTCCTTGGATGTTGTTCTGACTGGTGTTCTTGCCCAAAGGAGAGAGTGTGAGTGCCTTGGGCCAGGGACCGCATCTCCTACATCTAACAAGTCACCAGACAGCAGAGTCTGGCCTCCAGGTCCGGCCAGGTGACTCTGAACCCCCTCTACGGTACTCACAGGTGTGGAAGGGTGTCCGGTCGGGCAGGGAGCGGGTTTTCCTTCGGATAGGCAATGACTTTTCCATCTCTTCTTTCAAGATCATCTTTCCCAGGTTGGAAGTAACCTGAGGAGGGAGAATGGGAGACTCAGATACTCGTTCCTCATCTCCAAATAGCCTAGAGTTGCGTGTCCTGCAGGCAGGCAAGGGACATTTACCAAGGTGGCTGGTTCATGCCCTGAAGCCCACAGGGCCTCTTGTTCTTGGCTGACACACGGCCATGTTGGGTTTGGCCACCCAAGCGGAGTGAGAGTGCTTGGTGGAACTCTACCCAGGTGGCCTCCTTGTCCCAGGTAACCCTGCCCAGAGCACAAGCCCATGTCTCAGTCAATGGCCTTTCCATGGCTCTTGACACTCTCTCTCCTCCCCTGGAGACCAGGCCTGCTGAAGCCTGGCACAGGTGGGACCACCCTTTTCTGTGCTTTTGCCCCTAAGGTCAAGTAGTGTCCCCTGGAAAGCAGCATAAAGTCCAGGTGTCCCTTCACAAGCAGAAACCTGAGATCCCAGGAAAGAAGAGGGGTTGCTCATGTTGTTCTAACAAGGATGCTTCTCTGGCCTGAACCCCTTTAGACTAGCTATGGAGCCAGCACATCTATCCCTGAGAAGACACAGGGTGGAAGACACAGGGTGGCGAGATGCTACCTTACTGAGTTCCTCTTTCTGACGTTCCCTGAGAGCCTTCATCTCCTCTCCAGAGTCATCATCTTCCTCCTCTTCCTCTTCCTCCGCACCCCTCCGAGATGCCTTCCGCTTCCTCCATTCTGTCTCTAGGAGACAGGGCAGGGCAGGCACAGCCATCAGCCAGCCATTGGTTCAGCCGGTATTTATCCGGTGCTGGTTTTGTGCACTGCCCTAGGCTGGGCCTTGAAGAGACCACTACAGATTATTTTATTTTATTTTGAGACAGAGTCTCGCTTTGTTTCCCAGGCTAGAGTGAGTGCCGTGGCATCAGCCTAGCTCACAGCAACCTCAATCTCCTGGGCTCAAGCGATCCTTCTGCCTCAGCCTCCCAAGTAGCTGGGACTATAGGCATGCGCCACCATGCCCAGCTAATTTTTTTTGTATATATATTTTTTGTTGGTCAATTAATTTCTTTCTATTTTTAGTAGAGATGGGGTCTCACTCAGGCTGGTTTCGAACTCCTGACCTCGAGTGATCCACCTGCCTCGGCCTCCCAGAGTGCTAGGATTACAGGCATGAGCCACCGCGCCCGGCCCAGATTATTTTTTAAAATAAAATAATATAAAAGTAACATTTCTTCGCCTTGCTGTGACACTGGGTAGGCAACACACACACACACACACACACACACACACACACACACACGCAACAAATGCACCAGGACCACACCTTATCTATCTTTCTCTTTCGCAGAGTTCCTATCACAGAGCCTGGGACACAGTTTGATAAATGTCTGTTGCGTCGCCAAATAAATAAAGGGAAAGTGAACGAATGATTGGCAAACACAGCTACTTATACCCAGTGCTGTAGGAATGCTTCGAGTGGGTGAGCAGTGAGCCTGGGGGCTCGGGAAGGTGGGGGAAAGCCTACGCAGACCCCAAAGCCCTTGCTTTCCCCCATCTCTCCTACCCACGACCGCCAGAGAAGGGGGACACGGCCAGTAGTCAGTTTCGATCTTAGCAGGCTGGTTGGGGTCGGGGGGCTGGGCCGCGGGGAACTTAGACGACTCGATGATGAGGTCCTCGATGAGGTGCTTGCTCTGAGGGCTGCCTCCCACGGACTCTGCAGATGAGGCCAGGGTCAGCCAGGCGCACCCCACCGCCTCTGCAGCCAACCCGGCCACGCTTGCCCCTAGTCCCTCACCTGGCCCCTATACACCTGGGAGATGCTGGACATACAAGCACAGGGCAATCGTTCTGTGCTGTAATGAGCAGTTGTTCCCCACCCCAGCCCGGCCAGCCCCCAACCCCGTGGCATGGCCCCCCAGCAGGCCAGGGAACCCTCACCTCTCTGCTTGTAGATGGGGGGCTTCTTGTAGATGTTGGAATCCGGGCGGGAGGTCTCTGCGGGAGCGAGCGCGGGCAGGTGAGGCAGGGCCGTGAGAAGGGGGCCCAGGATGGGAGAAGGTGGGACTCACTGGCTCCTGCCCGGAGCCAAGATGGAACCCGGAGTTCCTGGCACTGTCCCTCAGGGGCCTGGGACTTCCTGTGCTTTTTGGGCTGGAGGGAGGGAAGAAGGGACAGGCCCACCATCTCTAGGGCCCCGCAGATCCGTGGTGACTGTGTGCTCCAGAGAGGAGGGAACTGAGGGTAAGGGCTACTGGGGCTACTGAAGGAAAGAGAGGGTCCTGGGAGGGGTGTGGCCAAGACCTACCAGGGTGGTGGAAATGGGGCAGGCTGGTCCGGGGGGTTCCAGTGGTTCTTGGGGCCGGAGCCTGGGAGAAGATTGCAGGGGTCCGGCTCTCTGCCCACACCTGCAGAGCATGTGTGTGGGTCTGGAGTCCCCGGCTACCCTCTCCAACCCACACACCCCTGCTTCCCTTCATGCCACCCTACTCTGTCCTCCCACCCTGGCAGCCACATCCCTGGCCCCAGGGCAGTACTGTGGCAGAAGAAGTGACTCCAAGGACTGAACCTGCCGATCACACGGTGCCTGGCCCGGGGAGAAAGGGTGAGATGAGGCCCTGGGTCAGACAGAGTGATGGCCACAGAGCTGGCCGGTCACCCCTGGGCCCGGCAGAGCTCTGTCTGGATGTGGGGGGGGGAGGGAGCTGGGGGCCCCTCAGAGCAAGGCTGGGCAGTGTCCGGTGTGGGGCAGACTCACCTCTGGGGATGGTGGTGGGGACGTGGATCTGGGTGACAGCGAGCGCTGTGAATGGACAGGGAGATTAAACCCTGGTCCCTAGAACCCCAGGGGTCACTTCATCCCCACCCAGCTCCGCAGCCCTTCCTGGCCAGTGTCTGGGCCTCCTCTTCTCTCTCACATCCTTGCCGGTCCCCAGTGCTGGCCTTTCCCCCTCCTCCTTCCTACCACCCCCTAGGCAGCGTCCTCATTCTTCCCGCAGTCTTGCAGGAGGAGGCAAGCAGCACACCACGGACCTTGGAGCAGTGTGCTTGGTGCTCTGAGGGCCAGGGGAAGAACGGCTGTGGCCCTGTCCTCAGAGCCTGCTAAGGAACCCAAGGGACAGAACCAAGAAGCATCCAGGGAGGAGACTGAAGTCACCCCACAGTCCAGCCCGGTGGCATTGCTCAGCCACGGCACTACCCCTTTCTTGAACATGGTGGCCAAAGGACCTGCCTGTGCCTGGAGTACCTTGTGGGTGGACGGCAGAGGGATCACCTCTATTTTATAAAAGGGGAAACTGAGCCACAATGTCACCTAGGCAACTCAGCTAGGACTTCCAGCCTCCATATTCAGTGCCTCTGTACTCATTCCACAAACTTTGCCCTTTCTGCTCACTCCCGGCCTCTCCTTCCCAGAGCCCCTGTGCTGCTGCCTGGAAACTTGCCCTGTCCCTAGCTCAGCCCCCAGCACAAGGCAGCCCTTGGGGAAAGAAAGCAGCACAGGTGTCCCTCTGCCACCAGTGGAGCTGTGGAGCCTTCCCCCCAGGTCCTGCCCAAGAGGACCCCTCTCACCTCCCGGCTCCTGGGCAGCTCCACGTGTTCCAGGAGGGAATAGGTGAAGTGGGGCTCATAGATCATGAGGTCCGGCCGCTCGATGTCCAGGATGGCCTTGTCCTTGGGGATGGCGGCCAGGTCCTTGTAGCCCAGCACCTGGTTGTCCATCTTGGCCTGCAGGGAAACAGTGCAAATGGAGCCGGAAGCCTCACCTGGGCTACCCGCCTCACAGGCTAGACTTACAGATTATTACTGAGAAAATGGCATCACTTTAGATGTGAACGGTCCTATTACCTATCATTTTCATTTTAAGAGTTTAGATAGTCACCTTAAAAAATATGACATCACTTTGCTTAGCACTTTGGGTACAAGGAGACCAGACTAGGAGAAGGAGGATGTGGGGGCGCTCCTCTCGATTTCTGGGGAACAGCCAGACCTGGGGAGGCTTGGAGTGAAGCCGCCCCCCCCCAGCAGCCAGCGGTCCCCGCCCACCCCCCTCCCAGCAGGAGGGTGCTGTGGCCTAGAGGGGTACTCACCACGATGCTGGAGGGAGAGCCGGGCTCACCGGAGTCTCGGGGGGAGCTGACGCTCCCGGGGGAGGTGAGTGGTTGCTGGGGAGAGCGAGAAGGCGGGCGAGTAGGGATGCGCATGGGGGCGAGGGCGGGGACGGGGCGGGCGGCCCTAGGCCTCTGGGGACCGCGGCGCCGCGCTGAGCACAGCCGCCAGGTGGCGCCCTTCGACTCCCGAGCTGCCCCCCACCCGGCCCCGGCGCCCCTGCGCGTGCGCGCGCACCTTCTGCAGCCGCTCCATGCGGCGGGCGCTGGCGGCGGGTCACTGGCGGAGCCCTGTGCGCGAGGGGAGAGGACAGGGTGTCAGGCCCGGCCCGGCTCCTGGGCGCTGCGCGCTCGGGGCCGCGGAGGCAGCAAGCGCGTCCCGCCCGGCCGTCGCGTCCTCATCCCTCGGCGGGCGGCGACTCCCCGGGCTGCAAGGAGAAGGGGAGGGAGGCCGGGCCCGGGGGCGTCAGGCGCGGGGCCTCGGCGGCCGGGCAGCCCCGCTCCAGGCGACCGGGCCCTCGACCCGGGGAAGGCAGAGGGCGCGTGCGGACGGGAGGCGGCCCAGTGGACGGGCTGCACTGTTTTCGAGCCATTGTTCTCAGGCTCCAAAGGAAATGACGGCAGGGGTCAGCGGCTTCCCCGCCCGGGCGCACCTGCCTGCCCGCCCCGCCCGGAGCCGGCTGTCCTGCCCTGGCCCTCCCTGGCCCTGGGCCGCCCTCCCGCCCCTCGTCCCACCCCTGCAGTCTCCTGTCCCCGCAGCCACCGCTCCCTCATGATCGCCCAGGGAGGCTTAACACGGAGGGGTTGCTTTAGTGATACAGTCTGAGCATCCACAACCCGAAAATGCAAAATCCACAACCCGAAACTTTAGTGCCCATGTGACGCCATAAGTGGAAAATTCCACACATGAGAACTTAACACAGACTTTGTTGCATGCACAAAATTACTTAAAATAGTGCATAAAATTACCGTCGGGGTATGTGTATAAGGTGTAGATGAAACATGAATGAATTTCGCATTAGATTTGGGTCCGCTCCCGAAGAGCGAAGAGGGTGGACTGGGGTCTCGCTCTTGCTCAGGCTGGTTTCGAACTCCTGACCTCGAGCAATCCGCCCGCTTCAGCCTCCCAGAGTGCTAGGACATTTCTCTGCTTTTGCACACACTTAGCACTGCTCGGTCCACCTCTCTGCCTCCCAGATGCCACCCAGCTAGAAGGTCCCTCCTATGGGAGGCCTCGCTTAGTCGTCTAGTCCTCACTGATAAACCCTTCTTTGAATTCCAGTGGGACATAAAAAGAGACCCATGTAACCAAGCCTTTGGTTGTATGCTGCCAGACATGGGAACATGTTTTTTCCTTAACTAGACTGACTTCTGGAAGGCAACAACAACAATAAGAAGAACTATTGTTTTCTGAATGCACATTGCATGCTAGGTACTTGGATAAGCACCTTACAGGATTATTCTGTTACATCGATACAACAATCCTATAACATAAGCTCATCTTACATGTGAGGAAACTGAGCTCAGAGATGTTAAACACTTGTCCAGAGTCATGGAACTGAAAATGACCGTGTCTTCGGCACAGGTGTGATGCATTGTGCCCACCTAGCACGGGGCGGATAGCTTCTAGCCAGATTTCTCAAGTCTTTTTGGAAATCAAGAACCATGGTACCTCTAGGACAAGACCCTGGCCATCAGAGTCACAGTAGGTATTGGGCACCCATGGAAAATCTCCACTCCAGAGCTTCATACTTCTCTTGCCTTCTTAGTTCTCACTTTGGAATGCTTTTAGCTAGGTGTCTGAGGAGCAGAGTAAATTCTGGTACATATGTGAAGAGCTGCTAGCTCCCTCTCACTCCTCTCTGATCTTTACTTTGTTAATAGCCATTATCAAACTAGCTATACATTTGGCTTAATAAGGCAAATGCTCATCCATACATCCGTCCATCCATCCATCTACCCAGTCATGTATTGTTTTATGCATTCAACAAATACTTTCTGACCACCTCTTCTGCAGTGAACACAGAATGCTCTTATGGAGGAGAGAAACATGAGTTAAAGGGGCCAAGCTGCCCCTCCAGAAATAAAGCCCATGCATTTGGATGGCTCCCATGCAAAGCAGAAAATTACATGTGCCAGATAAGATAGTACAAGGCCCATGAGGAGTCATGGGAGAGAGAGAGATTACTCTTGCTAGGGTGTCAGGGTGGGGGAAAAACAGGTTTCTTGGAGGAGGGGGTGTTTGTGGCAGGCCTTGAAAGATGCCCAGTTTGAGATCACACAAAACCGGAAAAGAGGATTCTTGACAGAGGAAGCAGCATGAATGAAGGTGGGGATGTGGGGGCGCACTGGGTCTGTCTGGGGAACAGCAAATACGGATCATAGAACTCATGAGGTTTAGGAATATTTGGGGTGGGAGATTGGAGCCAGATTGTGGAGGCCCTGAACCCAGATTATGGTTTGATTGAAATCTGTGGGCAACAGGGGACCATGGAAGACTCAAAAACTTTTTTTTAAGCAAAAAAGTGACACAATCTAAGTAGTGTTTTGGGAAAGTGAATCCGGCTGTGGCCTGGAATCTGGATTGGACAGGCAGAGGGGGTTCACAGGGAGACCAGCCAGGAAGCTGTGGCAGTGGCTCAGGCCAGTGGCTGTGAAGGTGTAGACCTGGGCGGGGAGGAAAGGGGCAAACGGGAGAAGTCGTGGAAGCAGAATGTGCAGAGCAGGGCTTCATCGGGAGATCCCCAGAGCAGGCAGCTTGCAGGCCCCTTGGGAGACTGGAGGGAGGAGGGGAGAGAAGGAGCTCACTTCTGCCAGGTGGAGGTTGTGGTGGGTGCAGCAGCTGAACTGGTGGGAATGTCCAGGAGGAACGAGCTTGGGGGAGGGGCCAGGCTGGAAACAGAGATTTGGGAGCCCTTTGCCTAAAGGTGCAAGTTTGAACTTGAGACTGCCAAGGGAGAAAGAAGGTCAAAAACAGCATCCTGGGAAACTCCCAGGAGACTGGAAGAAAGAAAATAGCCAGTGATGGCACAGTTGGAGAGAGGAAAACTAGCTGGGCAGCTCTTAGGGGGCAGGGAGTATATCTAGTGATTGTGTTTTCAGCCAAGGGTCTGATACACAGAGAGTGTGCAGTAAACATCGAGAGAGAGAATGTGAGGGAAGGAGGGGCTAAGAAAGTAGAATGTCCTGGAAGCCAAGAGCACACTGCTGTGCAGAAGGTCAGGAGACATGCCCTCCCTCCAACTGGGACGTCAGGGCCCGGTGGCCTGCTGGTTAGGGATGACACAGGGCGGGCTCTGGCAGGGGTGTGACAGAAGGGCAGGACTGGGCTGAAAGAGTCACTTTGGAGGAGGCAAGATGGGCCAAAGGTTTTTAAGGAAAGGAGAGCTTTGAACATGCTTGCAGGCAGCGGGGAGGGAACAGCAGACAGAGAGGAACTGAGGCTCAGGATAGAGGGGCACTTGTGGAGCAAGGTGCTAGCAGGGAGGAAGGGCTTTGTTCTGTGCCCACATGGAGGACTGGCTTTGGGAAGCCAGGCTCACCGGCAAGGAGCAGGCAGGGAAAGAAGTTGGGGGACACCCATGCAGGGGCTTCCATTTTCCCAGTACGAGTGAGAGATAAGATCATATGCAGGTCTTGGGTCTGGGGGCGGCCCTGGCACCCTCTCCTGGACATCACTTGGGGGAGGGGTACAGAGTGGGGACTGTCCAGGTGAGGAGGCAGGTGAGGCATCGAGGGTCAGCCCACCCACGTCACAGGAGCACGTACACCCCCACACTCACACGCACGGCCACTTAGGAACAGGATCGAAATAAAGATGGTCACAGTAATATTCGTGGCTTCTGTTTATGGAATGTCGATGTTATGGCTGGCACAGTGCTGGGCACTTAGTCCTTACATCCCAATCCTGTGAACTGGCTACTATCTCAAGTTTGAAGGTGAGGAAATTGAGACTTAAGTTATCATCAAGGACACACTACTGTGTGGAACTTAGACGTGAGGCTGTCTGACTTCTGAGACCATTAACCACCATATCACCCCGTGCAAAGCCGGTGTGAGCCCTGGCCTCCCGCCTCTGCCCTGTCCCCAGCCCCTTCTTGTCCACAGCTCCATTGCTGGGTCTTGTCCCTTAGCATCTGGGGCTCCTGCCCCCATGTCTCCTTCAGGGCTTGCACCTTAGAGAGCATGCCAATATATTATCTAGAGAGGTGCTAACAGCAGGAATCTGTCTCACCCATCACGGGCATTTACATTGAAACTTGGGGCTAGCCTTAAGGAAGAAAGTTCTTCCTGGTGAAATTTTGGGTTGTTAGAAGGCCAGCAGGGAAAATGTTTTGGGGCGGAGAAGTGTGTGGGGTGTGTGTGTGAGCGAGAGAGTTTCCTTGGCTTCCCTGGATCACACCATGCAGGCAACTGCCTACTCCACCCACATGCAGCTCCCTCTGCAGAGCTCACTTCCTCGCAGGTCAGTACAGGCTGTCGCCCACCCGCTCCTGCCCCGTCCTGAGCCCTCTCCACCTGTGCTGCACCACTCGCCTATGCTATGCACGCGCATCCCTGCTGTCCCAGCAACCTCCACCGACAAAGAGACAGAGAGGGCAGGCTGCAGCAGGAAGGGAGGGAGGACTGGAAGGAAGGGGAGAGCTGGTGGAGGAAGGCAGGCCCAGGTGGCGGAACGGACAGCTCAACTGCCCCGGCTCTGGCTGGACGCCTCGGCCCCACCCTGCCCCAGCTGTGCACCCTGCCTTATCTGAGCCGCCAGCCAGCCCCACCTCGCCCCAGCTCTCCTCCCCACAGCTCCCCAGCACGTCCGTCCGTGATAAGACCTTCCCACAGGGACCTCCAAGGCTGCACCCGCCCGTCCTAGTGGGGCTCTTGTTCCATGTAGGGGCCGGTCGCATCCCAGGTTCCCTGGACCTGCAGAACCACGCCTTGGGCCCTCGGGTCCAGCCTTTGCGCCAATCCCAAGCCAACCACCGCCTGCCCTGTACCTGTACCAGCCGCTGTGCCAGGGACTTTCGTACCTTCCCTCTAAACTTCACACAAAAATGGAGTTTTCCTCATGTAGAGATGGAAGAACGAGGCTGACAGGTTCACTTGCCAACGCTAACCCCAAATAGCAGCCAAGCTGGAATCCCTAGCCAGGCCTGTCTAAGGCCAAGTGCTCTTTTCAAGGGAGTCCCCAAAGATACCCCTTGAATCTGACTTGGACTTGGGGCCCCACGTGCTAACCTCAGATGGTGGAGACACCCAAATCCTGCTTGCTGACGGCACCTGGCGCAAAGCAGCTGGGAGTCTGGGGCCCTCGGCTCTGCGCCACACAGCCAGGGTCCAGCTGGGCTGGAGGCCACCGGGCCAGACAGTCAGCCAGTTATGAAATGAGGCGCGCTGTCCGGGAGGGCGGGTGTCAGGGTGGGCAGGGAACTTTGCTGCTCTTCTTTCTCCCCAGTTTCAGCCACGGTGGTGTCACCGCCTGCCGTGTCTGCTTCCCTTTCTCTCTCCCGTGTCCACTTCCCTTTCTCTCTCCCGTCTTCCTGCTTCCCATCCCCTTTCCTTTGCTTTCTTCATCTTTCCTCCCTCCCTCTCCCTTTCCCTTTCACCCTCTCCCCCTCCCGGCCCCACCCCCGCAGTTACTGTGGCAACAACTCAATGCCAGAAATAAAGGCAGCATGCAGCTAGGTCGCCAGCTCCCAAAACAGCATCCCAGGGTGGGGAGGAGGAGGGCTGCCGCAGGAGGCAGGGCAGGGGCCGGCTCCCCTGGGCTCTGCATGTGTGTGTGTGTGTGTGTGTGTGTGTGTGTGTGTGTGTGTGCTGGGGTGGGGCGGGACACCATGCTGGCCCTGAAAAGGACATCAGGACAGCTCAGGCCTGCTCTGGGGCAGGGGCTCATGAGCAGTGTCACTACTTAGGCCACACCTGCATCCCGAGTCTGTCTGTGGCTGTCAAGGCCTGGTTACTTCCCCCTCTTCTCTCCTGTTCTCCCTCTCCCCACCCCTGTTCTCGCTGCCAGGACCAGGCCTCCTCTAAGGCCAGTGCCACACAACACCCTGTCACTCTGAAAGGGACCAGGCAGGGGCCGGTGGTGGATCCAGAATCCACCTGCTTCAGGCCTTGGCCCCCCCTGTTCTCTCAAGGACAACAGGATGGGCCCAGGTGCTTCCTCTCTCCCTCTCCCCACACAGATATGCATCATGCAGCGTTTTCTCGTAGGTCTCTCTCTCTTGGGCTTGAGTTTCCATACCCTCACTCTACACCCTCCCTCTAAAGAGGTCCCCACGTCTATGTCCCCCCCTTAGTTGCCAGCATGTTCCTGCTCTGACCTCCGTTCATAGCAGGTCCTGTTGCACAAGCTGGACTGACAGAGCTGAGGGAGATGGAAGGGCCTTGCCTCCTAAATTCTGGATTCTGGTGACACCCCTATTCTGGTCTCTGCACGCAGAGGCGCCTTGGACAAGGGATTCTGCAGACGCCCACCCACAGGAGGACAACCTGGACCAGGGGGCTGACACCGGGCCATGGAGAGGCTGGTGGCACCGACACAAGACCCGCAGGTGCGCACGGGTGGAAAAGGCCCGCTCTGGAAGAGTTGCAGAACGCACATGGGTGCACTCAGGGAGACTCCAAGGCTGCCTGCCAATCCTGCACCCACTCTCCCAGCGAGGCCCCCACACCGTGACACACAGTGCAGCTGACTCCCACTCACACCCACCCGGCCATCCTCTCCTTGGCACCCATCCCGAGCCGAACACGTGTACAGCAACACACGCAGGGCCCTCTGTTACTCATGTGCAGGGGGCTTCCCCTGTGCCCCATTCCCAGATCCCAGTGGCCTTGTTTCTGCTAGACCTGCCCCTGCTGCCCTGACCCCCCCAACCTGGCAACCAGGCCCCTGGGAGGGACACACCGGCGTGTCTGCCCAGGAAGGAGTGCTGGGCCTACCAGGCCCAGGGAGGGACAGAGCTAACAAGGGGGAGCCCCAGGACCCTGAGGGTCCCCCGTGTCTGCTCAGGCCCAGCCCCTTCAGGTCCTGCAGTAGCTTGGGCTGGGAGAGCTCTGGGTTGGGCCTGCAGCCACGCCCTGCCACCCAGCCTGTCTTCACTGGGCCTCACCCCAGCCTGGCCAGCCAGGGCCGGAAGGGGGCTCCCTAGATCCCTCCCCTTAAGGAGCAGGCTCCAAACCCACAGCATCAGGCCCCTAAATTAACTGCTCCGACCCTCCAGGGCACCTGGGGTGGTGGGAGGGAGGCTGTGAGGACTGGGCTTGCTGCTCCATTATTCAGCAAGGGAGGAAGGGCTCCTCCGCCCACCCCAAGCCCCCACAACCCCATCACTCCCATCTCGGGCTGGTGCAGCTTGGTGGGCAGAACAGAGCAGCCGGAAAGCGGGCATTAGGGTGGCAGCACAGACCTATTGGGATCGGAAACCCCAGCTCTCTTCTCCAAATCAGCTCAAACCCAGCTGTCCGAGGGTCAGCCACCCAGGCCCACTCTCCCCTGAGCAGGGGACCATAGCTGACTCCTCCCTGGGGGTTCCCTGCCGCCACCCAAAGCCTCTCTCCCAGGCAGGTATTGGGGCCCCAAGTGCCCACAGAGGGCAAGAGGGGCGGGAGACCCTGCCACCTACCTCTTCCCAGACAACGTGGCCCAGACGCTCTGAGGCCCCCAGGCCTGGGAGGCCCAGGCCCAGATCCACAGGCCGCCGCTTTTTCCCGGGGCGCCTAGGTAATAGGCGTCGGTTCCAGGAACCCAGCCGTGCTTTCCCGGAGCACAAATAACAGGAAAAAAGCCGGCTTGGGGTGGGTGGGAGCTGGCGAAGGAGGGGAGCTGGTCTCGGCTCAGCGGTCTGGTCTCCCCTCTGGGCCCCCACCCCCTCACCCCCACCCTGCTTCTCTGCCAGCCACGGCAGCCTGGATCCCGGTGCTGGGGCGTCCGCGTCTGGGGGCGGGCGGCAGCGGCTCCCCCACGCCCTCCCCGCACCCTCCCACCTCCAGCTGATAGTGTGGCTGCCGAGGGTGTGTGTGTTTGGATGTGTGCTCTTCCCGGCCCGCCCGCCCGGCTGCAGCTCAGTCCATTTCGAACAAGAGCAGCATTAACCCGGCATCATGACGAAGCAGAATCAATTGGGCAGCGCTGTCCTTTTCCCCTTTCCCACACCCCCAGCCTTGCAGTGTGCGCACACACACACACACACACACTTGCACTCACACACATGCATGTGCACACACTCTGCCCCTCAAGCCTCCTCACATACAGCCGGGGAGTTGGACGCGGGGGTGTCTGCTGCTGACCGAGGGGGCAATGCCTGCCCACTCCGCACCGGCACCTCCTACCCCATGCCTGGCCGCCCCATCCTCCAACAGCAGCAGCTGAGGCCGCTGGGGGCCTGGCCTCTGGGGATCGGGTGCGGGCAGAGGTGCCAGAATCGCTCACCCAAGGATTAGCCCTCCTTGGGTGGGGTGGGAGGGGGCAAATGGAAGGTGCAAGAAAGCAGGTCCTCAGTCCGGAGAGCCAGGCTGGCCCTCTGGTAACCCCAGTTCCCTGGGAACTGCCATGAGGTGCAACAGAAAGAGCCAGAAGAACCCCATTTCTCCCCAGGACAGCTTCATGAAAAGGGAGCTTCCTGCCAGGTGACCCCCAGGTCCCAGCACAGCGCTTATAGGGAGGTGCTTTCCCCGCCTCTGGGAAAAAACCTCAGCCAGCCCAGGACCCTGTTGTCATTGGCCTTTTGGTGCCCCGGGCGGGGGAGGGGGTGAGCCTAGCCAGCGACCCGACCTCGCCCTGGCCCCAGCGCCCTCTCCACCTCCACGCCTGCCTGCCTGCGCAGACTTGCCTACCTAGGCAGCCCGGCCGTTGCCCTGGCAACCGCTGCCCACAGCCGGTCAGCTGATAGTATCAGCTGTTGTTGGGGAAATCTAGAATCTGGGGAGGGGGCTCTGGGATAGCTGAGGGGAGACCCACAGGGGGACAGGTGAAGGTATTCCGCAGGATCTCTTTCTCAAAGGGAAGGGGACAGAAGAGGGGACCGTCTGGATAGTGGGGACAGAGAAGACTGTGCCCTGAAGGATGGGCTCCAGAGAGAAAGGGGGGATGTTGGGGACAGGTGGCTGGGAAAAGGAGAAAGAACCCAGGCTTAGCTGGGGGTGGGTGCTGCGGAAGGCAGAGAAAAGCCAGGGTGGGGGAAGAAACACTAGATCCATCACACCTCAGAGAGAACGGCCAGGAGTGATGTGGGGGGTGCACCTGTCATGCGGCAGGAGGGGGCCACAGCCCTGTAGGAGGAGCGAACCAGGCCGCTTCTCCACCAGCAGCCCGGCCTCAGCCCAGCCTCTCTGCTTTCTGAAGCTTCAACCCCACCCGTGCTGCCCTTGAACCTGAGTCTGAGAGGGAGAGACTGGGAGGCCTGGCCACCCCAGCCCTGAGCAGTCTCCCTTAGTCCCTCCAGACGCCAGGCACCAGGGGCTTGGACAGCTCGGCCTCCAGGATTCCAGATTTTTCCCACTCCCTCCCTGCCCTTACCTGCCCCCCACCAGAACCCACCCCAGGACATGGGCCTTCTGTGCAAGGGTCCCCAGAGGTAGAGTTGGAATGAGCGGATGCCAGGAAGGACAGCTGTGGACAGGGGCCTGGAACGAGGTGGGCCATGAGCCAGGATTACCGCTGCCAAGGAGGAGGAGGGGAGCCTCCTTCTGACGGAAGCGTGAGGTGCAGGGCAGAATGGGGGGAGTCCAGGGGAGAGGGCCAGGGTGGAGGGGAGGAGGAGGAGGGGGCGGGTGCGAGGTACCTTCAAGGGCCTGGGGCGTGGGGCAGGAGCACGGCAGCCTCCTCGGTGATATCCACCTCCATCCCTCGGCGCATCTCTTCTCCGCCTCCCGTTGCCAAGACAACCTGCCGGCAGCTCAGCCGGCTCAGCGGCGGCAGCGGGAGGGGGAGGAGGAAGCTGTGGCTCCCACTGCCTCTTCCTCAGTGATGGGGGGGGGCTCTGTGTGCTGGGGTGGGGGTTAGGGGAGAGCTTGGGGAGCTAGGGCTGCCCCTGAGCCCCCAAAGCAAGTCTCCCCTCCCCCAATAAGGCTCTAGGATTGTCTCGGGGGTGGCCTTGGGAGAACCCCAATTCAGGGCCAGATAGAAGGCCAGCCTTGATGGGGGCACAGCACTGGGGAGAGCCCCGCATGCCAGGGAGCCTAGCGTGGAGTTGGGCCAGGCGACAGACTACAGGGAGGATGGCCCTCATGCTGAAGGGCCAAAGGGGTGGTTCTGGCAGGGAGGGGAGGCCCCCCGGGCGTTGCTGGCTGGGGTGGGCATGCAGCTGGGGCACCCCCCTCCCACTGTGCTGTCTCTCTCTGAGCACCTCCTCCCGGTCCCAAACCCTCTCTCATTCCTCTCGACCTAGAGGAAAGTCATGGGATAGGATAGCTCTCTTCTAATCCATCCCACTGCCCAGTCCCTCCACTGGGTGGCCACCATGGGCAGGAGCGTCTTCCGCCCAGCCAGCCCTGCCCGCAGGGGAGTGCAGAGTTAGGGCTCCCTCTGTTGACCAGGA